CAACACGTTGCAAGTACAAAGATGGACAAATATATTAAATTCAACTTAATTGGTGCCTCAATTATATTCACCCGAATATAACTTTCGGAACGCAATTGTTGATATAAAACCGATATTATAAGCTTGAATTATCGCAATCTGTGAGACTGATCTAGGGAATCACAAAGAACGCTTCTGGGTAAATTTTTATTAAAAAAAAATAAATTTTTTACCAATTTTCAGGGTAAGAATTTTTTCAGATTTGAAAATTTTAGAAAATTTATTTCTTGATTAGCCAGCAATTTGTAGACTTGGCAGAATAAAGCTAAGCTACTATAGAAAGTATTTCTCAAGTTAAAATTCAAATTCAACACGTTGCAAGTACAAAGATGGGCAAATATATGAAATTCAACTTAATTGGTTCGTCAGTTATATTCAAACAAATATATTATTCGGAACGCAATTGTTGATATAAAACCGATAATATAAGCTTGAATTATCGCAATCATTGAGACTGATCTAGGGAATCGCAAAGGGCGCTTCTGGTTAAATATTTTTTGTAAAAAAATAAATTTTTTACCAATTTTCAGGGTAAGAATATTTTCAGATTTCAAAATTTTAGAAAATTTATTTCTTGATCAGCCAGCAATTTGTAGACGTGGCAGAATAGAGCTATGCTACTGTAGAAAGTATTTCTAAAGTTAAAATTCACATTCAACACGTTTCAAGTACAAAGGTGGGCAAATATATGAAATTCAACTTAATTGATGCCTCAATTATATTCACCCGAATATAATATTCGGAACGCAATTGTTGATATAAAACCGATAATGTAAGCTTGAATTATCGCAATCAGTGAGACTGATCTAGGGAATCGAAAAGGGCGCTTCTGGTTAAATATTTATTGAAAAAAATAAATTTTTTACAAATTTTCAGGGTAAGAATATTTTCAGATTTCAAAATTTTAGAAAATTTATTTCTTGATCAGCCAGCAATTTGTAGACGTGGCAGAATAAAGCTAAGCTACTGTAGAAAGTATTACTAAAGTTAAAATTCACATTCAACACGTTTCAAGTACAAAGATGGGCAAATATATGAAATTCAACTTATTTAGTGCCTCACTTATATTCAGACGAATATAACATTCGGAACGCAATTGTTGATATAAAAACGATAATATAAGCTTGAATTGTCGCAATCAGTGAGACTGATCTAGGGAATCACAAAGGTCACTAGTGGTTAAATATTAATTGAAAAAAATAAATTTTTTACCAATTTTCAGGGTAAGAATATTTTCAGATTTCAAAATTTTAGAAAATATATTTCTTGATCAGCCAGCAATTTGTAGACGTGGCAGAATAAAGCTAAGCTACTGTAGAAAGTATTTCTAAAGTTAAAGTTCAAATTCAACACGTTTCAAGTACAAAGATGGGCAAATATATGAAATTCAACTTAATTGGTGCCTCAATTATATTCACCCGAATATAACTTTCGGAACGCAATTGTTGATATAAAACCGATATTATAAGCTTGAATTATCGCAATCAGTGAGACTGATCTAGGGAATCACAAAGGACGCTTCTGATTAAATTTTTATTAAAAAAAAAATTTTTTTTACCAATTTTCAGGGTAAGAATTTTTTCAGATTTAAAAATTTTAGAAAATTTATTTCTTGATCAGCCAGCAATTTGTAGACTTGGCAGAATAAAGCTAAGCTATTATAGAAAGTATTTCTAAAGTTAAAATTCAAATTCAACATGTTGCAAGTACAAAGCTGGGCAAATATATGAAATTCAACTTAATTGGTTCGTCAGTTAAATTCAAACATATATATTATTCGGAACGCAATTGTTGATATAAAACCGATAATATAAGCTTGAATTATCGCAATCAGTGAGACTGATCTAGGGAATCGCAAAGGGCGCTTCTGGTTAAATATTTATTGAAAAAAATAAATTTTTTACCAATTTTCAGGGTAAGAATATTTTCAGATTTCAAAATTTTAGAAAATTTATTTCTTGATCAGCCAGCAATTTGTAGACGTGGCAGAATAGAGCTAAGCTACTGTAGAAAGTATTTCTAAAATTAAAATTCACAATCAACACGTTTCAAGTACAAAGATGGGCAAATATATGAAATTCAACTTCATTGGTACCTCAATTATATTCAGACGAATATAACATTCGGAACGCAATTGTTGATATAAAACCGATAATATAAGCTTGAATTATCGCAATCAGTGAGACTGATCTAGGGAATCGAAAAGGGCGCTTCTGGTTAAATATTAATTGAAAAAAAAAAAATTTTTTTACCAATTTTCAGGATAAGAATATTTTCAGATTTCAAAATTTTAGAAAATATATTTCTTGATCAGCCAGCAATTTGTAGACGTGACAGAATAAAGCTAAGCTACTGTAGAAAGTATTTCTAAAGTTAAAATTCACAATCAACACGTTTCAAGTACAAAGATGGGCAAATATATGAAATTCAACTTAATTGGTGCCTCAATTATATTCAGACGAATATAACATTCGGAACGCAGTTGTTGATATAAAACCGATAATATAAGCTTGAATTATCGCAATCAGTGAGACTGATCTAGGGAATCGAAAAGGGCGCTTCTGGTTAAATATTAATTGAAAAAAAAATAAATTTTTTACCAATTTTCAGGATAAGAATATTTTCATATTTCAAAATTTTAGAAAAATTATTTCTTGATCAGCCAGCAATGTGTAGACGTGACGGAATAAAGCTAAGCTACTGTAGAAAGTGTTTCAAAAGTTAAAATTCACATTGAACACGTTGCAAGTACAAAGATGGACAAATATATTAAATTCAACTTAATTGGTGCCTCAATTATATTTACCCGAATATAACTTTCGGAACGCAATTGTTGATATAAAACCGATATTATAAGCTTGAATTATCGCAATCAGTGAGACTGATCTAGGGAATCACAAAGAACGCTTCTGGGTAAATTTTTATTAAAAAAAAATAAATTTTTTACCAATTTTCAGGGTAAGAATATTTTCAGATTTCATAACTTTATAAAATTTATTTCTTGATCAGCCAGCATTTTCTAGACGTGACGGAATAAAGCTAAGCTACTGTACAAAGTATTTCTAAAGTTAAAATTCTAAAACACTTGCCGATTTTTATTTTTATTTTTTCAATTTAATTTTTTGTATGTGACATGAGGTTATTTATTATGTAAACGTGATTTTAAATTTAATTTGACCTACAAAAAGTTTTAAAAAACAACAATAAAAAAAAATAACGAGTCCCTGAAAATCTAGTCCTAAATCATTTGCCGAATTTTATTTTTATTTTTTAAATTTCCATTTTTTAACGAAAAATACAAGTTTTTAACTACGTAATCGTGATTTTGAATGTAATTTGACCTCCAAAAATTTTTGAAAATCACCGGCCCAGTCAGGTTTCGAACTCGGCTTGTCGGGCTCGCAGGATTAGATTTAACTGCGCCCCGAGCCCTACCGACCGAGCCTATACCCTCTGGGCGTACCAGTGGCCGCGTAACAATGTGCTCAAAAAATCGGCTTATAAACAATGACCGCCCAAACAACGTTTGCGCATCACGACAATATACGTAAAATGTTACTTGATTGCTATTTGAGCAACATCACAGTTTGCTCTAATATTTGTGATGCGCGACGCTTGGGGGCGAATTTAGAAATATTTTGTTGGGCGGTGAAATATAATTTCAGTACATCGCTTTACATATTCATTGTCGGTTGTGCACCACATCGTAGCTGGATGAATCAGTGTGACTCTTTTTTAATATGAATTTTTTTTCTTTGAATTAATTTTTTTTATAAAATAAACTTTTTAATTTCCAAATATATCTTCTTATCAAAATTATTATTCCTATATGATTGATATGAAATTATGCAGCAAAACCTATAAAAACCCTTTATAAGAAGTTTTTGTCAAAATAATTTTCGGATTGTTATTAGACCACCGCAAGTTCAAACGGATTTGCATACGTGCTGAGGCGACGGGGCCGTGTTTCATGTTGCCGTGTAGCAAAATAAATGCCGCAATATTTATTCTGTATAAATTGATGTATCAAAATAAAACGAACAATATATATAAAATAATAACGTGTCCTTAAAGATCAAGTCCTAGAACACTTAAGGAATTTTATTTTTATTTTTTCAGTTTAAGTGTCGTATGATTAAAAAACATGATATTTTACTGCAAAGTTGAAATAAGCTGATGTGATAAGTGTGGCATAAATTTTTTTTAATTATTCATTAAATTCATCCAATATTTAAGTAATCTTGTTGCACAAATAAAAAGGACAACTGACCCCAAAAAGCGGTATATTGGCGCTTTAAAACCCTGGTGACTTGGTAAAAAAAAAAAATTAAAAGCACATAATTATTTTCTCTAAAACCTCTCTCCCTTAAAGTACATGACACAGACACAAATTAAATACCAGGTTTTTCACACAGCAGGTCGCCTTTTGAGGTCGGTTGTTCTTTAAAATTTTTTCAGTCATTTTAAGCCCTTGCTTTCAATTTATTTTCTTGTATAATTTAAATTTAATTAATTTATTGGGAATTTTTTTTACCAATCTAAGAGTAGTTGCGCGCGTGCCTTTTTTAATATTAATAAACAATGTTTTTTCCAAAGACCTACTCTTTTACAAGCAGTCTAGAATGATTAAACCTAATTTCATAATGAATGCCATTGTTTGACCCAAATTGTAATATTGTGTTACCAGTAAAGTTCAAAGCAAAGTCATAAAAGATAAACGCTAATTAGCAGAGCAAACTATACATTTTTAGCAACAAGAACGTAATTGCTTAGGACAACAATGCGGCCGCATTTTACTCCTCCGATGTAATAATACGAAATTGCAGAAGTATAGTAGCGTTAGCATGAGACTCACAAGCGATGCCGTATTATTTAATGATTGCGAGGCACACACCTTATCTTATCTAGCACACCTTTTACTCTGTTTGCCTCCAGCCGAGAGTGATAGTTTGTCTCGCTCGTTTTCCTTCCTCGTTTGGCAGTCGGTGTTACGACAGTGAAATGGCATCTGCGGCACCGTTCGTTGCTCTTGTGACGGCCGTTGCGATCATTGCAAATGTCTCGGGTCATCCGCAGGTTAGCTCGTGGGATACGATTTTGGCGAGTCGGATTGTTTTCGCCGTCGACACCTCCACGTCAATGATGATGGATGTGAGTTTTTAACCATTTTTATTATAAATTCCATATACAAGAATGAGAATCAGACCAGTATATTTTTTATATTAGTCACTTTGTACACAATGAGTCACGCAGCACAAAAGTGAAATTTTTTTTTTAACGTATATAGGATCTCCATATAAAAATGAGACAAGCAATCGAGATTTGGACTAAATACCTCTCGCCGATTAACACTTCTATAAGCATTTCGCAACTTAAGTAAGCATTATTAATTTAAAAAAAAAAAATGATATGCATGATTTTATTAAAATTAAATTTCACCCCCAATGAAATTAATTTTGAAACTAGACATAAAGATGGTCTGCTGATGAAAAACGTCGCCGGGGCGAATCTCAAGTCGATCTTGCCTGAAGAGGACTTTTTTGGCAACGCCTGTCTCTTTTGCGGGCTCAAGGAGGCAGCAAAAGTAAGCAGAGTGCTTGAAATGGCTAATTGCTGTGATAAGTATATTAGCCATTGAGATAATACGGTTTGTGTGGCTCCAGGTGCTGGAGGACTCGAGTGCTCAGGATTTGGTGGTACTTTTGATGGAGGAACGTGCAGACGACACTCCACAAGACACGCCACAATTCGCTCTTCAAAGCGTGCAGCCGCGATTCAGAATCTTTTCCGTGGCTCTCACGTACTGTGAATTCAATGAAAATTAATTTTTTCTAAAAATTAAATAATTATCCAGGGAAAAGGCCGATCCTGATTTGGAGGAATTGTCAAATGCCACGCACGGAGCGAGTGATTACATAAAAATTCCTACTTTCGCTAGGCTTTTGATGACATTTGCATCTCTACCGGTGGCAAAAGGCTACTCTATTGTAAAAAATTAATTCATTTTCGTGCATAATTAATTAATTATTTATTTAGATCACCACTAAAGAGTGCAGCGGTGACTATGTTAACTGCCCCATTGAGTTTGAGCTCAATGATAATGCAGTTTCTCACAAAAGCGTGCTGGACGTATTCATTTGCCCAACGGGAAATGCATCATTCTCGCTAGATTACGATTTGATGAACGCAGATCTAGACGATGGTGACAGTGTGCAGTCTTTCAATCCTGAATTGGCCTCGGAAACTGGTTGTTGGGTCTACCAACATGACACCCCTCACGTAATGATAAAATTTATTTGTACGACATATTGAATAAATTTTTAAAAAATGTGCTAAAATTTTTACAGAGCGGAATTTATCAGTTAAAATTGAAATCTGAAAATGCATCACTCTCAGTCATTGTCGTTCTTCAAAATGAGCATTACCACAAATTGGAATGCTATACCTATAACGCCAGTGGAGAAATACACGTGAAAGCAAAAGTAGACCCTCCAATTGAAGACGTGGAGCGGTTTGATGTCTCGTAATTATAAGAGTCAAGTAATTTAAGACAAAAACCATTCATATTCAACCGTTTAGGTACGTTATTGAAGCTGGCGATCAAATCTTTGAGCCCATTTCCATGGAGGCTGAAGGGTTAGGAATGTACTCGGCATGCTTGAAGCCCACTGGCGAAATTGGACGACATGCTGTGTCTTGCAGGGCGTCCAAATCTGGACTAACTTTGCTCACATCTCAAGGACACTCATTCAAAGTATATTTTAAAGATTTAAAAATGAATTTTAATTAAAAAATAAAATTTCAGATTCAAAGTTGGGATGAAAACAGGGACTATTGTAAAAAGTCAACGCCACCTCCAACTACCGAGGCCTTCACTTCCAGTGCGGCGCCGCCAGTGATGGTCGTCAAGGATGAAAATTTGTGGTTACCGGAAGAACCGACCTCGACTGTTGAGGCTGCTACAGAAAAGAGCCAGGAAGAGTCGGAAGTGGATGTTTTAGAGGAAAAGGGAAATATTTCCAGAGTCATTTTGGATTCACCTGCAAACGCTACTGATGTGGAACAAGCAGGACCAAAAATCAGTGGAGACAGCATTCAATTGATTCTCTTTATTGTTGGAGGAATTATTCTGGCCGAGGTTGTTTTTGTTCTTGTTCGTTGCCGCAGAAAAGCAAATAGGAACGAGAGGGAAAGAACTCAAGTTGCATACCCGGTTGATCCGAAGAGTAATCCTGATCGTATGTACCATCGCGTCGGAAGTGTTGAAGCAGAGGAAACCGTGTGAGAGATAAATAATGTTTTCAAGCAAAACTCACTCTGCCAACAAATGCCATTTTATCGCTGCTAGTCTGTTACTTCTATAGTTTATAAAGCTCAACTGTGTTAAGTTAATTTAATTTAATAAAGCCAAACAAAGTGTGTCAATTTCTCTATTATTATTTATTGGTCCAACAAACGCAGATTCATTTTTTTAATATTCAGTCTGAGATCTGCTGCTAGTTAAATATTGAATGATTTTAAATGTTTCTCCTAAATTGATATTTAATTCATAAATAAAATTTTCTTTTCATTTTTATGGAATAATTTCATTTTTTAATTAAGATTTTCTAACTGTAATCGTAGGAAAATCTATCTACCAAATCACCTAGCTCTTAATTTTTTTAAAATTAATTTCTGTACATATTAAAATCAACAATCAGCTACTGTGAAACTGTGGAGCATTAACATTTTTTTCAACAAGACAAAGACTTGGACAATTCTTCTACTTTAGCTAAATAGCTGAAAAAAAAATATATAGCCTTCTAATTTAAGACACTGCAGCTGTTAAATATAGTGAGACCATTTTTCACAAAAAAAAAAAAAACATAAGCCTATGTAAATTACTGAATTAATTAGGATCTAATCTCCTAATAATAATAGCCTAACTAGAAAATAAATAAAGATCACCTTAAATTATTCCATCATTTTATCTGTGGATTTCTGCCGGCTCGTATGCTGATTTCCAGATGTCGACCAAACAGACAGAGGAGTGAAATCTGTAAAACATTGTTAGCGGCAACGTCATGTGGCTCAACATCGTCCACAGAATACTGCCGTAAAATTGGAAGCGGTCGTCGCGGACGTCCTGAGACTTGATCTCGAACGTCTCAATGATCCACATGGCCACGTTGCACACTATGAGAAAGGTGACCAACTCGCGGCCGGGCTTTTTGTATCGAAGAGCGCGTGAGTTGCTGCAGCGGCGCAGCCCGTCAATGATGAAGGGCGTTTGCAACAAAACCTGAACAACCTGAAAATATAATAGAATATCAATTCATGAATGAAATTCAATTTCGCTCAACTTGATTGGAAATTTCAAAGCCTTGAATATTTCTTACTAAAAATGAAAAAAAAAATTATGACAGGGAAAATGTATAATATGATATCATGCCATGTATGCAACTTGTAATGCTTACATGTGGTGCCGGCTGCATACTATTTATAATTAATAAAAGCTTGCTTGAGCTACATATTTATTTTTATTTTTAAATTGGAAATCTTAAATGTGTTCTGTGTCACATTTATTAATTTTAAATCCACTAAACATAAATTTTCCTCCAAAATAATGGGCATAAATTTTACTTTAAGCATGCATATTTTTTTTTAATTTAGAGATTTAATTTAATTTTGCTTACCTGGAGGACGATTGTTGCAATAGAGAGGTAACTTTTGCTTTGGACAGCGGGCATAATGCTGAAGATGGCGTAGAGGAAAAATGCAGGAATGCAGATGAAAAGCAGGAGATCATCGAGTAGAGAGACGGCATTTCGGTTCACATCCAGACGTGTCATTTGACGGTATGCGATGGCCACGGCCACAGTCATCATCACCAATAAGCTAAGCTCGGTGATGGCGTTGACCAAGAGGCCTGTGGACACAAAGGCGCGGTCGGCCATGGCCACGAAGAAGAGGATGATGGAGACGGCCGAGCCGACAAGGACGATCAGTCCGGCAAAGAGGCCTTTGTTGGCAGAGTGACAGTCTGCGTGGAGAACCACGTTGCTTGTGTAGTCAGCGTCGTAGCTTGAAGGAAGTTGACGACAGGCTGGCCAGCAAGGGCCACCGATCATTCCGTGGCCACGACACCGGCCAATGTTTTGCCACATTATGAAAAGCACGCCAACTAAAATAGTTAATAATAGAGAGGTTAAAAACAACCTAATAATTTATAATTAAGATATTCAAAGATATTTGAAATAAAAAATTTAAACAATGAGAAAAAAAATTCAACAAGTTACTAATTTTTTTGTCAAGTTAAAAAATGTTTTTTTTTTAAGATAAAGTTAATAAAATTTAAAATAAAATTGCAAAATCCTACTCCTTGTTTTGAATTTTTACTTACCAACTAAAATTGAGTATTCAATGGTGAACGGGTAGAGATAGGGAGAGAAGTTCTCAAAGTTGTCAGACAATTTTCTAGCACCTCTGCAGTGGTCATGAAGAAAAGAGGTGTCGTTCAAGAACTTGACGAGATCTTGCGCACCTTCTGTAACAGCAGGCAATAGTCACAAAGGTGCCAGTTGATTAGCTGAGCGTGTCTCACACTCTCTTTGTTGCTGCAACTAATTAGGCGCTGCAAGGAAAGCGAGACAAAATGCAGCGCTTTGAAAGGCAGAAAAAATATATAGACGTGGTTTAAAGCTAGTCGTTAGATAGATGAGAGCAAAAAAAAATTGAACTGATTGTGAGAGATTGACAGGAGGTAGAGAAAAGGAGAAGCCTCACTGGTGGTGATTGGAAGAGGCGTGATGGGGTAGTGAAGCGCCTCCGATCTCTCCTCGTGCAAAATTGGCGTGTGGTTGTATAGCAGAGAGACGCGGTGGTGATGCAGGTGGCTAAGGGAGTCCACAGTCTCCCTCAAAATTGTCCAGACCCAAAAGCAAAGACTGGAGGCAATGCAGTGCATCAGGGCAAATCTGGCCATTTCTGTGCAGTGATTTATGATGACCTGCATTTTTAATAAAATTATTTAAAAAAAAAATTAATTTTAAGCTATTTTTTTTATATACTCACGTTTGAGTACTTGAAGATGAAAAAGAGTTGTACAAATGAATATGTGGGATACAAAATATCCAGAATGAGTGTCGGGATGCTGGCGCAATTATTTACATGCGGCTCAGTGGAGGTGAGGAAAGACACCTGGTAGCCAAGCAACAGGCCACTGTGGATCAAATGGCCAAAACAAAATCCTGGAAAGAAAGGAAATATCAGATGAACATCATGTAAATATAAATTTTTAAATAAATTTATTTTTCAGAATGTTTTGAGAAATTTTTTAAAACGAAAATCTAGAACTCATTTTCAACTTACCTGCGGCGCCGATCTTCAGATAGAAACTTCCTGAGTGGCGGCCTTGGTTGAAGCAGTAGTGTGGAACTGAGGCGCCTTTTCTGCTCCAATGCACCCCTCTTTCTATTCAATTGGCGGTTGAAATGAGATGCATATTTTTTCCGGTAAACTTTTCAATCTCACCACTCCACCGTTGCTGCTGCGACTCGACAACCTTTCGCGAGCTCTTTAAGTGGCGCCGAATGTCATTATACAGGAAGATGAACCACGCCAGACCAAGCACAACCAGGTAAATCCCAAAGGTCTGATTAAATAATTTGTATTAAATCAAGCATCACAAAAAATAAAATTGAATGAAACAAGATTTTCAAAACTTTGAAAAGCTAGAATAGTTAAAATATTTTTTAAATAATCTCATTACCTCTGCCATGGACGTGTTTACCAACACAACATCACTAATGTAAATAACAACTCCCAAAGTAACAATAAATACTGCATAAACACAGCTCAAGATCACAGAAAGGTAGCCTCTGAAATGATATAGGAAATTAAAAATTATCATAAAATTATGATAAATTAATTATATATGCTCGCCTAAATATCCGGCCTTTTTCCTCATTGCTTGTCGGCGCCGGCTCGTCTCGGCTGCTGCAACTGCTGCAGCTTCCGCAGCTCAAATTGGAGGCCGAGGTGTGCAAGTGACCAGCGGTGATACTGGGTATGTATTGCCGTCCGAAAAGGTGTTCTCTGCTCCCGTAGCCACCGGTGGCATGCACGTGCACCAGCACTCCAGTCGCGCCTGAAGAACCACAAAAATCATTCATTTTTGTCCAATGTAATTTTAAAATGTTACCAGACAGTGTTTAATTATGGAAACGGAAGCAACAATTTTCAAGATAAATTTAGTTTATGACGCAAATAAAGTTTTTTTCTTGGAAAAGCAGCCACCGTGATGTGCAAATTGCACATTTCCAACTTAAGGGCAGTTGTTTAGCAACTCGTTATCTCCGCTTCGAGTGTTCGGAAAATATGCAGCAGACGTGAATGCCATAATAATTCATCTACACATCGTACTTTACGCATCTCGACTTGCATATCCGTCAGAGGCAGCTGCGTTAATTAAATATTTATGCTGCAACATTGTATAGAAAAAAGATGGGATCGTTTTCAGCCAGGCGTGTCGTAAATAAAAAAAATTATCTCAGCGCGAGAATTATCGCTCAATCCATAATGCATCTGGAGCCGAGGTTAATTTATAGGGAATTTTAATTATCAGAATGAGTGCCGTGATTTTCGCACCAAGACGCGCATCTTTGCGTTTTTCCTCTGCAACAATGCAGCATTATCGAGCGATCGCAACAACAATGCGAAGGTCAATGCCGCTCGCTGCATCTCTGCGCCGGTGCTTTCACTTCGCGTGCGTGTCTCGTGTGAGGCGCATTCACCCAAAACCTTTTTTGCACTCTTTGGTATTTCGTTATTTTTGCGAAAGCATCTCGGAACCTTGGTCATTTACGCGGTCCACTCGATTTAGATGTCAGACTTGCAAAACGCTGATTAGAAAAGGCTAAAAAAGCGAGCGATTAAACGCACTGTTGATTTAATGGGACGTTGAACCGTACAATTGACTTTATTTGGTTACCAAAGAAATCGCGAGTCAAAAACAATGGCATTTTAAACAATTATTTGTGTCAACATCCTCACCTTAGGGAACTTAAAAAAAAATTAATATATATATTGAGCAATGTGTCGATATAATTATGTTATATGATTTTTCTCAATGTAAAAATATTTGTATTTCTAAGCGAAAGACTAGCAAAAATAATTTAACTCTGAAACTTTGCACAAATGAATTAATTTTAGTTAATTTAAATTTGAAAATGTGAAGAAAAAAAAACAAATTTTTACTTCCATGATTATCTCCATGACAAAAAAAAATATTTCTTTAATAACTTCTTACTAAAATGGGGTCTGCCAGGAGGGACGTCATCTTGGAATTTTTCCACTTGCAATTTGGGATGAGAACCTCGCATATTATGGCGATCCGAGGCCTGTCGGATTTCAGAGACAAGCTTTTCGGCAATCCATAGAACCTCTTCTGCAACACAAAACAAAATAATTTAGATTATATACAGGAAATAACATTATTTTCTAAGTAATTTAGTACTTTGTAGCAATTTACAATTAAACATCAGCGGATTTCACTATCCTCTTCAATTAATAGTGCAATAGTTATTGAGCGTTCTCAGGTTGCAATTTTTCGCTCGCTTAGGTGCCGCCTTTGAAAGTTAGCGATGTGCGAAAAGTTTCCCAACCTAATTATCCGGTGCCGTGCTTGATCAGCCGGTCAACAAAGTAATTATGCAAGCATCTCTTTATTTATTGAGACTGGCATAATCGGTTTCTCGTGATTTATCAAGGCTGTCGTTTGCAATTGTTGTCACTCATTTTCTCAACCACGCTTGGCTCCTTAAATTTTGCAAACGTTCAAAATCTCCATTAAATATACCTCGGTGAAACCAGATTTTCTTAAATCTCCTTTTTCAATAAATAATTTTTCAGTATCAAAATGTACCAAAAAAATAACGATGAAAATCGCAAATTAAAAGTAATTGGGGACGTCAACACTCGAGTTTTAAATTGTTCCAAAGACCTTCCACGTCAAAAACTGTTGTTTCCTGAGGAGAAAATGTTTCTTTATTTGACTCGCATGACCACAAACTATTTAAATATATGTGAGTAAAAGTGCATTGCTGACTAAGTGAGTGAGTTTCTATACAGTCGGTCCTTGGTAAAAACGGCACGCGAAAATGATGCACGCAATTCAAACGCCAGCACGAGAAACAATAGCAATGTACAGTACAAAGCCAAAGCCTCTCCTCCTGACTGAGAACTATTCTGAATAAACACCTTTCTTTCAAGGCACTTTTTCTTTATTGAGGAAGCAATAAAAGCGTTTTGAAACTTAATGAGAATAATGTGAAATTTCAAATAAAAATGCGTGTCCTGCCAATTTTGATTATTTTTTTTTTTTTTATCTTTATTTTTGCAAAAAGGTTCTATATCAAATTTTCCTTCTTTAATAATAAAAGCCAAAAATAACACACCTTTTGCAATGGCAATAAAAATATTCCAAAAGAAGCTAATTAATTAGAAAATTCCATCAACCTGACTCCAAGAGCGAAGAAGTTGATTTAAAAATTTCCAGCTATTTACTCATGTAATTGGCCCTACAATTAGAAAGAAATTAAATTTTGCAATTAAGATTGTACAAGCAGAGCGTCTTTATTTTCTACGGGACGTGCAATGTGCAATCCGCAAAAGCAACAAAAAGATTATTTCACGAAAGTTAAAAATGCGCGTGGCAGCGTGAAAGTGCATACAATATTATGTGATGCCACCCGTTTATTGCAAATTACCAAAGTACTTAATAAAACCGAGAAGTGCAACCGGGAATTGTTCGAGTTTGTTTTGGAATAGGCGTTGTGACGTTTTTGCAAAACTTTGTGAGGCTGCAGATAAAGAGATAAGGAAAAATGCTTACATGCGTTTTATTGCCCAATCAAGCGTCTCTAGCTTTTGAGCAACTCCCGCAAATTGCTGGCGATCATTGCCAAAATATGCCTCTTAAGAGAATTTAGCAAATTTTGATGGAAATAGACTATGCAATAAAACGATGCGCCGCCAATGAGGCGTGCCTTTCCAATCATCAATCCAAGTGGGTTAGCATCTAACCCAATTTCAGACGCGAAAGAGGAAAGTTCAGTCTGGTACTGTGCAAAAAGAGCCGCAAACACGATTTACATTGTGATAGTGGTTGCGACAAACATAAGTAATTTTCTCTGCCATTTCAAAGCCTCCGCACGTTATTGTTATTCACCCAATTTTTTTGCGCGAGGAAAAAATCAATAGGAAATGATGTTTTTTTTTTAAAGTCGCTGACTATTTGGATGGCCTGCAATTTGTATTGTTTTCATAAATTTGAATCTTAACAATTATATTTATTAAAGATCTTATTGTAAAATTACCAAGATTAGCTTCATTGTTGAATTTTTACCTGAAATTTATTAGTGCGGATATTGGTGTTTATTTCAACTTTTATAACACTGCATCATTATTAAATAATTATAATTGTCCATTCAATTTCATATTGAAAGACGCGGAAATTAACGCCAATTAAATTGAACGGAGCGCTTTGTTAGGGGAATAAAGCTTTCACATCACGACGCCCCTTTTGTTGCAGTTTCTGAACTGCAAACAATGTGATAATTGTGTTCCAAGATGAGATCACTCTGTGCAGATTATACAACTTGAGAAAGATAGGTTGCGTGAGTACTGTGCATTATATTTTGGAAGATACCGACACAACTAGAACTCTCGGGAGTAACCACACCGTGTCCCGTAATAATTTAATTACACGCACGCTATATTTTAGATGAAATTGTACTAAAATAGTTTTGCTCCATTTAGATTTTCCACCTGAAGTCAATTGAATGGATCCGGCCATTGTTTATTAATTAAAACTTAAGTATACAAATGAAAAGTGCCACTGGAATGGGAGCGTTATTAATAGAAAGAAAAAAATTAAATTCGCCAATAGATCATGCGGCTTTAATCTTGTTTTTAGAAATGTTAAATTTAGCGTTTCAACCTTCAACTTCAAACTACAAAAAATGTAGTCTCATAAATTCTCAGTTTTGCTTACATTTAAAAAATAAAAATGTCTTGAATAAAAGTAATTAAAATCTAAAATTTCAATAAGAGGAAGCAACGTAAAATATACTTAAATGCAATTTATCAAATAAATCAAATATTGATTAAGTTGAAAAAATAAATCATTTAAAATTGAATACCAGACACCAACAACTATTAATATGAAATAAATTTTTACCTTAATCCATTTGAGCAATATGTGTATCTATCTATTTTTGCACCAGAGATTGCAAGGTGCAATTTTGCGGTTTCAGCAGAGTGGAAACGCTGCCGACACTGTGTCTTGAGGCGCACTGATCGCACCAACAAAGCTGCGAGCTCTTTGCAAAAATGCACGTCCCCACTCTCTCCTCTATGGCCTATGCTCGCTTACACGCCTAATGCCACATTAATTTGTAATCCAACATTTTTTTTAATTCACAAGCATAATATATTTGCTGTTAAATTTAGCATGCACTGTTGTTCATCCATTCGGCGCAAAAAAATAAAATGTCAAATTATTTTCTTTGATTCCTCAAAGAACAAATATCAAAAATTTTAGATTAGAGCATTAAACTAAAATATGATTTTGTCACTTTTTAAAAAAAATTAAAAGGTCATAATTTGATAAAGACATTGATAAAAAACATTTTTGCTCTTCTAAATCTACTGTAACCTTACTGACCACTTCCACGCTTGATGTTCCAGTGATTTTGTTTTTATACATAAAATCGATTTTTAAAAATTGTTCTAATATTATGAATAATGCATTATCATTATGATAGATACCTGAGATACCTCACTTTGTCACCTCTTTTAGTACAAGCTAGCAATTAAAAAAATAGATAAGTATTTTAGTGTAGTAATTATAAAAATATTATGACAACTCTAACAAAAAAATTCTATTTATTCTTGTTTTTTTATTAATCAGATAACTTAAAGACAGTAAAAAATTTAAATCATTTCATTTCAATACTCACACACAAAATTTATTGTACGATAAGGATTATTTAGATTATTTATTGGCGTCAATGGACTGGCTAATAGCGCTGGATCCAAGTATGATGTGTTGCGATTGAACGTCGTCTGATAAATAGATGAGGGATACGACAAAAAATTTCCTGCCGTTGTGTTGAAGGCAAAGGCATCCATAAACGGTTCGCAATTCAATGTAGGCGCAAAGCGCACTCCTTCAAATGTGACCGGTTTACCACTGGCGCACCACGCTCCGTGTGTGCTGTTGACGTTGTAGCTTTCCCCAACAAGCAATATAGTATCTTAATTTAAAAATTCCATTAATTAATAGATTTTTTTCTCAAATCCATACTTTCAATATTCAAAGCCTCCATTGCTACCGCGTTGAACTCTTCAATCGACTGTGGCTCAAACATTCGCATGCCCAGGGAGCAGCAGTACTGATAAATGTCAACTTCGTTCTAAAACAATTTCATCAATTTGATGTTCCAAAAATAATTATTTAAAGAAATTTCCACTGTTAAAGTGTTAAAATAGGAGTAGGAGATAAAGTAATCCTTTTTAACTGAGCCTTTTCCAATCAATAAAGTAATCATCCGTCCTTTTTCAGCTGCAGCAATAACATTTATAAAAAATAGTCAAAATATCATTTCTAAACTTAAATCTACTCACTAGTTTGAGTTGCATTTAGTTGCTGTTTCAGAGCCACCTGTTGATAAATACATGGGAAAGGTGCAAGTTTTATAATTTCTCAAAATAAATAAGGAAGATTATAAATTACGTTGACTGTGCACGGAAACATCTTAGTCAAGTGGCACTGTTTTATGTATGGCGCACAAGGTATAGGCGGCGTGTACTGGCAAATAAATGTTCAAATTTCAGAATTATTATATGTTTAAAAACGAACTATGGTTGAATTTCCCCAGCTAGCTTGTAGCATTTTAATCGTCAATTCAGGTTGCTTCAATTGACAGCACTTAAAAAATTCATACGCCAATGTGCAGCCATCGGCAAAAACGTCCGCTGAAATTATATAGGTCGCAAAATAAAATTCACACGCAAAAAGCAAAGTCCAATTTTCCTAATTTTCACAAAAGTACCATGCAACACTTACCTAAAGATGAGTAACACTCGTCAACTGTTTGCAAAGCAGCAAGTAGATTTGTGGTTGCTGTCATAAATACTTGCTGGATTTTGGCCGTTAAAGCAGACAAAGACTAAATTTAAAACAAAAGTTATTTATTTTAGAGGTTCAATACATGATTTCTTACCATGAGTCTATAATTTTCAGCCAAGCAATACATATAACACTAAAATATAAATATATTTTCACGGTTAAAAAAATTTGAACAAAATTAAAAATTTTACTTTTAAATTGTTGGAAACGTAATTACTGTTAGCACTTAAATTTTGCAGATACAGCAGCTCCTCTATTTCATTGAAAATTATTTTTTATTTTTTTATATTTCTTCCTAACTTCATTCATACCAATTTTTACTTCATTAATTTCCATGCATTCAGCCTTGGCTACCTCTAACTGGGTTCCAATTCTTGCAGTTTCGCATACGAAAAATCTTTCTGTGCTGCAATTTCCAGTGGCCAACACAGTTTCGTTTCCTGCGGTTTTCAAAAACACACAATCGCCGTCAGCGCTCACCGGAGTCCCAGTGGCCCAAGTAAATTTGCTTGGGTCCATAGTTTTATCAAAGCCACACCATGCGTATTTTCCTTTGCAATTGAAATCAGTGGCGGATGTCCAAAACTCTAGACGCGCAATTTCTTCAAAAAATGGAAACTTTATGTGGGCTAAAATATTTAAGGCACTTCAATAATATTTCAAACAACTCATTTTTATGTTCTAACCAGTAACGGATTTTGAAAGGCATTTTTGTTTTTCTTTTGTGAAAAACCCAACCAAATTCATGCCCAATCTGCAACAAGTGTCTCGAGACATTGTCCAATTCAGCTAAGTGAGCAGCAAAAAATTATCAAATGTGCCGTGTTAAAAATTATCTAAAATGTGCCTTATATCGCGAGAACATTAGAATTTTGCCACAAGATGACGTAAATCTTCCATAACTATCAAACCCTGAAAAATTAATTATGTAAACAATATTACAAAAATTTGTATGTTCCTAGTATACCTCTGGAAGTGGGATTTAATATTCCCAAATCAATCTAAAATGAAAATTTATCATGGAAAAGTGCATCTTAATGATTTTAAAATCTCTGGCTCATTACCGTTTTGTTACAAACAGAAGTGGGACAAGTCCCTCTGGTGCACTTTATCGCAGAGCTATTATATAACGCTAGAGGACCCTACATAAATTTGATTTTAAATTGTAATAAATCAATAATTAACTGATTATTGAATTGAATTCTAAAAATAATTCCATATCACCTGACAGGCAAAATTGCGGCGATTCTCACAAACATTCTCTTCATATGTCCATGAAAAAGAAACATTTCCGCTCATATTATTGTACATAATGGAGCAATCGTAATTCCAAAGAGAAGTTCTGTTTAAAAAGATGGCAGGTAATCCCTCGGCAGCGACTTGAGCACCAGAAGAAGTGCACCAGTTCCATTGGCCCGGCGAGCCTTGCTGAGAACCCGCCGTCCAGTATTTGAAGTTGTAGGTTATATGTAAAACTAGGGCATAATGTTTATACCTCGGCCACTACGTACAAATATGCAACATTAATTACTATAATAGGAAGCACGGTTTATTGCTTCAAAGTAAACCCTGGTGCCCATGTTGGAGAATGAAATAGGCTCCATTCCTAAATTGCAACACAACTGCCAATTTTTCAGCCACGTCACCTGCACAAAAAAGATTTTTGCAAAAATTCTCTTGTGAACTTTTTTTTAAATTTCATTATTATTCATAATACAGGTCTATTTCCAAGTAAATAAGTGAAGTTGCCAGCAGTAAACCACGTGCTTTGTCCGAACGGATCAGCTTTAATTTTCAAGAAAAAAATTTATTAATTTATTTTCTCTGATTTTTGTGACGCTTCTTCAATACCGTTTAAAAGTTTGTCCATGTTTGCGATCATTTTCGGCTGCACGGAAAGGCTATGTAATGAAATATTACATATCAAGGGTAACTTAAACTTGCGTCTGGGTTGCAATTGGTTGGACATGATGGTTGCGCCTTGCATGCGTATGCCAGTGCCATGTCGCAGCTCGCGTGAATTAAACCAGGGATTTCAGACGAAGTCAAGTTTCTCTTGAATGCAATGCACCTCTCCACTGTGCTGTTCAAAGCATTTCGCACTGACCAGAATTTGTCCTCGACCAGAGAAAATGGTTTTTCTGCAGAGCACCAAGCGTATTTCTGGTGAACGTCGCAATTATCACCCTCATTGCTTCCGCTTGTCCAGAACGTTTGTAAATTTGCTAAATTAGGAATATTTTTAATTATTTAGTTCTTCCCATTTCTTTTTTTTAATACATAATTGGAGTGCGTTTAGGGCTTTGAATTTTGATTCATCGTCAATTTCCAAAAGTGAGAGATTTTGAGCCTTGCAAGATTTCACTGCCTCTGATAAGTTTGCTATTCGTCCGATGAAAAGCTTGTACCCATTAGACATGACATTGTAGCCCTGGGCTTTAATTATATCTCAATAAAAATTATTGAATTTTGGCTTAATTTATTTTGAAACCTGCATATGATGCTGTATTGGACCCCTAGAGATATTAAAATATTTTGTTATTATTGCCGTTAATTGTAAAAATATTTAATATAATTAAAAAAAGCCACACTAGTCAAAATAATGTATATATATTTATAAACCATGTTAATAACTTTGTCTTCAATAACTTACACAAGGCATTAAAAAAATAGAGAAAAATCTTTTTTTGCCGTCTTTTTAACCATTTTTGATCGATATATATAAATATATGATATTAATTGTATTTCCTTCATTCTTACGGCTTGTGCAGCTAAGTAGGTTGAGCAGGTTGAGTTTAAACATGGCTTGGTCTAAAAAAAGTAAAAGATTTTGAGAATAAAATTAAATATGATCAATTACAGTGGTTGTTGTGGTGGTGGTAGAAGTAGTAGTAGTTGTGGTGACTGTAGTGGTTGATGTAGTGCTTGTACTTGTGGTGCTAGTTGGAGTTGTAGATGTTGTTCTTGTTGTGCTACTAGTTGAAGAAATAGTAGTTATTCCTTCTGTGGTTGTCAAAGGTGAAGTTATGGGTTTTGTTGGTCCCAGTGTTATGATTATCTCCAAGAACCGTTCCGTTCGTTTTGCTGCAGTTGTTGTTTTTGACGTAAATTTTTTTGTGGCCCTAGAGGTAGTTTGGACAGCCACATTTTTTATGCTGGTTTTCTTAACAATGGAAGCTGCTATAGTGTGCGTCTTCAAAATTCGTTTGTAAAATCAGCACATATGCGGTTGAAGATAAAATCTTACTTTTTTTGTGGTCTTTGAATTTTTATTCCTTGCAATTTTAGCTTTATTGTTTTCTCTCTGCGTTCTTTTTTTACATGCAGCGTTTTTGCACTTTTGTCTGGAGACTTTTCCCTTTCTAGGATCTTCATAAGCAAATTTAAAAATCAATATTTATTGTATTTCAATGCAGTATAACGGAGTTAATTATACCAATAGCCAGCTTGAGGTTATTTTCCGTTGCATCCTCCTCTGATTCACCTTCAAATGCCAACTTTTTCAAAACAATAAAATCAAGAGCACACTCAAATTATTTTTTAGCCTTACAATAAATATACAAAGAAAAATCAAAGAAAACACCAACACGCAGTGGAATGAATATTTCATGATAAAATATTCTGCTCTGAAACTTTTACCAGTTGCCGAGTTTTGCTCTTTCCATCAATCAAAATAATTATGAAGCATCAAATATTTCAAAAAGAGGAAACATCAGCGGTCACTTCCTAGCGTGGACGCTCACTATTCGCTTAATATGCTCTTCCCAATAAATAATTAGCCAACAATTCGAGGAAACGCACTCATGTCTCATGTCACTGTTTCTGAAAAACTCCTATTTGATTGGAATTTCAATTATTGAGTACAGTGCTGGTTTCAAAACTATAATTGAGAGAAAGCAGAGAAAGAATCAATTTTCTAAATAATAGTCCCCTATAAAATGAGCTCTGTAATTTTCAGTGCAGACAAGCAAGAATAATTAGTTTTACTATAAATTAAATCTCAGCTAAAAAAATTGACTTAAAATGTAATTTATAAAAAATTATAATAATGAATTTTTGAATCTAAATTATTTATTCCAATTAATTTTTCTGACTAGTTAAGACATTTTCATGATTAACTTCTCGTGACTTGCCGCTGCATCAAAAGTGTACAAATACTTTTATGAATACAATACTGAAAGCTATCTAATTTTCTGGCAATAATTAAATATTATGAACTGAGGTTTTGCAGAAAAAGGTTGGTTAAAATTTTAAATCAAGGCATTTTTGTCAATCTCCAAAATATATTAAATCAATGGCATGCGCAAAAATCAAATATAATTATATTATTTATCCCAAATTTAATCTTGTTTTATTTTATAGGCTATTGATGGCGGACACAACAAGCTTATGCAAAAAAAAATAGTCAGTGTCTTTCATTTTTTTTTTTTTTTTTTTTTTTTTTTTTTTTTTTTTTTAATTTAACGTAATAAATCAAATAAGATCCCGAATGATCCTCGATAAAACTTTGCGTGCCTTTGCAGTTGCCCGCGCTCTACCATAGTCCACGCGTTGTTCACAACCCTGACGTTAGATAGCAGCACATGTATGAACTGGAGTTGGAGTTGAATAAAAAATAAAATAATATAACCAGCCGGTCTCTTGTGGTTATAAAGTTAATTTTATTTTGTTTGACGATGACAGACTTTCCTTGTATTTACTGCGGTTGTCCTATCGCACCACGTAATTAATGTGATATTTCCCAAGAAAGTAGACATGTTTTACATCAGCCGAATAACTCTGTTATTCATGAATTGACACAAAGAAAAGAAGGTTTGATAAAAAAATTTATACATACATATATAGTCAACAAACAAAACATAATTATCCAATATTATTTGATATTATAATGAAACTTTGTAATTTATTCAAGGCGGAAACCATGGCTGTTCGGATAGGCGCGGAGGGAAATCCAATTCCTCCTAAAACCGAGTATGAAGAGCCTGAATTGGACGAGCAGCAAATGAGGCTCCTAAATGGCAATCTTTGGTGCTCTGAAGGAACCTACAGCACTCGAGATTTAAGTCAGCAAGAAATCAACCCGAGCTTTTATCTACAAATGGTTCCAGAATCTAAATTCCTGCCCGATAACAAGTCAGCCATAGTCCGACAAAAAACTATTTGGCTCCCTTTGCAGCCAGAAAATGGATCGTCTCCTTTGAAATGTGATAAAGGTGTGTTATAAAGAAAGATATTTTATATATTAATGAGCGCTATTAAATTACCATAATATGTTATACTAAAACTGTAAAATTTTAGTGCCTAAAAAATATCAAAAGTTAAAGCCGTCAAGCTATGAACAAAGAGGAGCCCCTTCGAATCATCACAAGGATGTAATTATCTGGTGCGATCAAGAAAATTGCTTTAAGTTCTTCCAATCTGAAGATGATAGGAATTTGCATAAAAAAGAAGTTCACAAAGGAGGCGATAAAGAAACTGACGTTTATGAGCAGTCGACTCAAGAGGATATAGGTAATTTTAAAATATTATTCTTCTGTATGTACAATGTATAACCACAAATTGAAACAGCAGAACCTGAAATGTTTTCTGAAAGAAGGATAAATTTTGCAAGGATTTCTTTTTTAAACCTCCTTTCCTTAGCAAAATAAGATATTTGTAACTCTGTATAAATTCTCGGATCTGTTTCAGAAGAATTTAAAATTAAATTTATTTATTAATAGAAAAAAATTATTTAGGGATGAATTTTTTTCTAATGTGTTTTTTTTTCAAAATATTAAATATATGCAACAATATTATGTTAAGCCTTACTCAGAAATAATTTTTTCAGGTCATACCAAAGCGCCTACTATTCTTCCATGCCAAACCCTACCGTTGTCCAAACCAAAGGGAATGGCAACTTGCAACTTCTGCAACTCCGTCTTTGCTTCTACCAACCTCATGAACCACATCTTGCGGCAACACAAGGGCGTCGCTTTCAAATGCAACAAATGCACTTTGTTCTTCAAAGCCAAGAAAGACTGTGATCTCCACAAAAAGTTGAAGCACGGGCAACCAAGATGTTTCCGAATCCAGGTGTGCATTTACTGCAAGAGAAGGTACTCCGACAAGAAATGCCTGTCCCACCATGTGATAAGGAAGCACAACAAGGAGGTCATCAAATGCGTCTTCTCAGGGTAAAAAATTTAATTTTAAAAATCCACAATAATTTTTTTACCTGAATCATCTTCATTATTTTAGCTGTGGCGAGATGTTCCTAACGCCAACAGAAAGGGACTCGCATTTTGAGGATGATCACGCTAATGAAGCCCGAAAGAAAAATTTGGCATGTGACACTTGCCCATACAAAACCCACACCAAGAAACTTCTCAAGATTCACTTCATAAGAAGACATTTTCCTCGAATTTTCAAGTGCAAATTTTGCACAAGACGATTTCCTTCACAAAAGCTTGTTCAGTTTCACAAGAGGCAAACACATTCATCTAGTCATCAAAGATATTGCCCACATTGCCAAAAATCTATGTCTGTCACCTACATCAACACCCATGCTGCTGAAGTTAACTGTGGTGTATGCAGCAATACTTTTGGATGCCTTCGTCTGCTGAAAAATCACGAGTCTGAGTGCCGGAAATTGAAAAGCATGGGCTGCCTTAAATGCAAAATCTCATTTGAGAACCGTTTTGAGCTTCGAAAGCACTGGTTTGAGTGTGATTTTAAAATTGAAAAACTTTCAACCAAAATTCATGTTAAACCACTCAATTCTCTAATATGTAAACCTTGAACAAATCTATGTATCATAAAATTTAATGCAATAATTGTTAATAAATCATTGATTTTATTTATCTTGAAATTTTGAGAATTTCATTATTTAATACATTTAATTTAATTCACTCTTGTCAACTATATTGATTTGATTAATGCTCAATATATAATTCATTGGTTAAAAATAATTTTATATATTAAGCAGTGTAAATTAAATTTTATCAATGGACCTTTAAAAAATTATTAATTTAATGATTGAGCATAACAATATTAATTCATTATGATGAGGAAAATTTGAATTTATTTCACTTTTTCCTTGTTTCTACGTCACGACTAACAAAGTAAGGGGTAATGACTGGCACGAATGGAACTTACCACAATAATGTGTATGTGCATGTATTTATTATATGGCATTGAAGAAGGATGGGGAAGAGCGTGAATTGACACACTTTACAACATTCATGCAGCCTCAATTTGGTACTTCCCGCACCACAAATGTATCCTCACATAATACAAGAAACAAAAGATTTATTAAGAAAGAAATACCACTCCCGCTCCCTGCTTTAACATTATATTACGTAGTTGTGTGACTGATAGTCTCGACTTCTAACCCGGTCTGACATTGGCGGGGGCAAGTTCATATAAAACGGACGCTAAAATACATGAACCATCAGTGTCGTCGAGATAAATGTTTTCTTCACAGGAGTAAACCATTCATCATACACGTGTGTTATAATTGATAGCTGCTTTTTTCAACGTAGGCCAATTTATCAGATTAACAAGTAGGTAATTTTATTATATCTTGAACCATCACAATTTAAATATAATTAAACTTGAAATTAAATAAATAGGTTTGAATAAAAATTTGCTCAGATAAAGTTTGAAGTTATTTTTCCATGTAAATTTTCAAATTTTATTTTATGAAATGTTTAATGAAATTTATCCATAAAAAATAAGTAGAATATATATATTTTATTATAAAATAATTTAATAGTTTCAATACAAGAAATTACCCTACAAAAAGGTACAAATTATATAGATTGCAAAATTTAATTTTTTTTCCAATACAAATTTGCAAATTATATTTGACGGTATTTAAAAAAATTAAAAATTTCAAGCAAATGGATATCTAACATAAGTAATACTTATTATTTTAGGTTTAATTTCATTTTATAATTTTATACTATTATAATTTTTTTATTATTAAACTTCTGTACTAATTTATTCCATTGAATTTACAGATAATCTGCAGCTCATGATGCGTAAAGTGGTGCTCATTGGACTTATCTGCGTTCTTGCAGTCGCATGTTGTGAGAAAACAAAAACCGAAGAGGTGGAGGAACTTTTAAACGCAGGGGACCAACTTGACTTGGGAACTTCAAAAGACCTAATTTTGCTCATCGGATCTACCGGAGTGGGCAAAAGTACACTATCCAAATTTTTGACGCACAACCCTAGCCTGCAGTCAACTAAAGTTGGCAGCAGCTATGTTTTTATAGACAACGGCACCATCAGCACAATTACCAGTAAATCTATGACCCTGTTGCCTAACGTCTATCAAGATAAGGACACAGGTCTCATCATCGTTGACTGCCCCGGTTTCAGTGACACCCGCGAGCCAAAATTCGAGATCGCCGCCTCCTATTTTGTAAAACAAGTTCTTGAGTACGCGAAAAAATTAAAAATCATATTAGCGGAGAATCACTTTAGCTTGACGGAAGGCGCTGATCGGTTTGGATTGAAGCGCCTTTTGAAACATGTCTCCGAATTGATTCCCAATATTGAGCGCTTCAGGGGCTCTCTCGCGTTGATCGCCACCAAAGTAATCAACCAAGGCATCCCTGACGAAGAGGAAAAGGCCGACATAATGACTTTCATGAATAATTTTGCGACCGATTTGCGAAACGACCTGGCCAATCAGAAGCAAAATGCCACCTTGTATAAAACTAACGAAGGAATTTTAAGGGCGCTCGAGGTGATTTACGGCGACGGGTCGGGCAGCAATTTAGCCCTTTTTCGAAAACCAAACAAAGCAGGCAGTCCGTGGGAGTCGTCCCTCCTGCAAAAGTGTTACGCTGACATCAGATCTTTGATCTTTGAAACGACGCCCTGGATTGACAACACAAATCAAGTTTATCATTATACGCTGACCACGGACAGCATCGTTTTCATTAAAGATCACCTCGTCCCAAATAACAACAGAAATGTCATGGCAGAAGTTAATAAAATTTTGTCTCTTTTCTTGGCCGGAATAGAGGCAAAAATCAGTTCCTCTGCTATTAGTGTGGATCAAAAAATTCAAACGGTAAACAGTTTAAAATCACAATATTCAAATGTACTCGGCCAACTTGTCACTGTTAAAGACCTGGTGGCGCTCAGTGAAAATCTGTCAAAAGTTTCTTCCATTCAAGGCACGGACCCAAAGGTTTTGGAGCGCCTAGTGTTCAAGGCGCAGTTTTTTAATGACGTTGGCGGAGTCGATATTCGCCAATTTGTGAGTGAAGTAAGAAAAGAGGCGACCAAAACCGATAAGAGGCTCGGCGATATATCTCAATTTTACCAGTTTTTGCAAACGCTGAAATTAAAACTAGAGGAATATTCACCGCAATTCGTCCGCCAGTCTTCATTCCGACACATCACAAAAGCAGATTTTAAAGATTTCATTTTCGACGCCTCCAAATTCAACATTGAGTTCGGAAATAAAAACCAAATTTTATCTATTCCACTGACAGACTACATGATCGCCGATTTAAATCAAGTTCTCTCAACCAGTCTAAACTACATAGTGAATTACGTGCATGACCCGCAATCAAAGCACCTGTTGATCGAGGCGAGAAATTTGCTCACCAGCGAAATCAATAACAAAATCGGCGCTTATCAAGGCGTGGAAACAGTCACAATTATCGCCGCCAAAAAGATATTCGTGGACCAAAATTTAGCCCTGATAAATGCTAATTTAAATTTCATCGCGCCTGTTATTGAAGTGATCAATGACAACAAAGAAATAAAACTTTTCGCCTCAGACGCGGGACCTTTCCCAGGGAAGGCTGCCGACTCGAACGCCCTGACCGTCCCTGGCGCCGGAGGACACGCAGGTTACCCTGGATCCAACGCTGGGAATTTCCTCCTCCTGGCAAATGATGTCATTAAACCTGACCTTTTGACCGTAACAAGTGTTGGAGGTCGAGGGGGCCGTGGGCAAAATGGGGGCAACGGCCGTAATGGTGTTGCCAGCGGCTACCCGACGGTCGGCGCCGTGATTTTAAGCAACGCTAATGATGTGGACAACCACATCCGCAACCAAGGTTTTGGCGTTGAGCGTTCAGGGGACTATTTAGTGGTCATTAACCAGAGGGAAAACGTCCTGCCATCCAGTGGTGGTGACGGCGGTGCTGGAGGAGCCGGTGGCCGACCTGGACACATTATGGTCAAGGTCAAAAATCACGCCAGTGGAAATTTGATTAAAACGGCTCAGGTCATCGGGACGCAGGGCGAAGGTGGCGACGGAGGAATCGGCGGCGTTGGAATGTCCCAGTGCGCCAGGAAACATTACGGGTGCACAAACCACGAGCTTAGGGGCCGTTGCGGCCCTTGGTATAGACGGCGCGGCTGCACCACTGGCTGGGAGTATAAGTGTTTCCCCCAAAATTTGGACAATTGCGGAAACTACCCCAATGGCAGCACTGGGAATAAGGGCACAAGTCACGTCGGCACACAGCCCAATCACCCTTTGAAACCGTATGCGTATGGGCAGCTTTGGCACCAACTGAACGAAAGAGTTGGACCGTATCAGTCTTTGGGAAATGAATACAGCGAACTATATCAGTACGCTCAAAATGCAATTGACAGAAGTTAGTCCCGTTAAAAATTTTCACGTTTGAACCTTTTTTATTGTTGTGCGAACTGTGAAAAAATTTGTGTGAGCTCTATTTTTTGACATATTTATACCTGATTTTAATTTTAATTGTTTTACTTTATGCCAGTTAAAATTTTTGACCTCTATGAAAATTAAATGAATCGGCTTTGTGAGAAACAAAAAAGTATGCAAATTATTTTTCCAATCGAGAGCCCCCTGTAGAATAACTTACTTTAATTTCATACCTTTAGCAGAAAGCAATATACAATTTTAATTGATTTTAATCTACATTAAATACATAATAATAAAAATTAAATCTTTTTTCAACTTTTATCATTATTTTAATAAAAAAAACTGTATCATTTAAAAAAATTACCAAGTTAAATTGATTGATTTATTGATAAAAGCTCAATAGAAGGTAGAAACAGCAAGAGAGTAAGGACAGTTTATTAGCGATAATTAAATCACTGAAAACAAGAAATCTTCATTATTTTATCTGTTCATGCAGCGACAGCTGCAGCCAGAACGCTGCACACGCCAGATGATTCTGAAGCTCTCTCGCTCCAATAATATATGTGAGCCTTTCCGCTGCCGTTTTTAATAATTATAATTATGGTATACAACAAATGAAAACACTCCCATCTGCAGATTTCCATTAAATATTTAACAGTTGCAGACTTTGGGGTAAACGAAAATCCACCCTCCGCTTGTTTCAACCTGGCTTATTAAAACGCATATTGAATGTTAAAACAAAAATATACCTTCGAGTTTGTTTGAATAGCTGTAATTTCCGATATTTCAATTCTTTAAATTTTGTATTAAGAGCAAATGATTATATGTTATTTAATTGCCATTTAATCTTTTATCATTCTTTTATTGCTTTTTTTTAATCATCGGTATCTAGTGAGGACTACTCTAGTCCTGCTGAAATTCCTGTAATATTTTAACTAACAGTTTTTGATCTGTTGTAAGAATCCCTCAACTGTTCTGAAATTAAAAAAAAAAATCTGAATAAAAATCTACCATCCGTAGAAATGTCGAAATCTTTCTCATTATTTAGCATAAATGAGCTAAATTACGTTTTCTAAATGAATTTTAATTTACAAGAAAAAAGAAGCTCATAAAATTAATTTAATTTTTTCTACACTTTCACTTGCATTATTCTATCCAGGGAATCATTGTATTTTTTTTACCTAATTGTAATTATATAAGAGCAAGTCCTTCTAGAGTGTCAATTTTGTATGCTTCTAAAAGTTTTGAACAAAATTTTTTCTTGTGGAGCCAAGACGAGTGTCAACTTCATATAGATCTGAGGCATAAGGATTAGGTCGATTAGGTTATAAAATTTGATGTGAGCAGCAGATCACTGTCAGAAAATTGTAAGCCGCGGGGGAAAAAATATCATGTGAATATCAAGAGCGTGTAGGTGAGATAAAGTTTAAATCGTTGGCAACGCAGGCCCCATATATTTATATATCAGCTCAGTCAGGAGAAGGAGTTTTTGAGAAAAAATTTTACTGCCAAAACCGTGTCACCCCTGCGCGCATCATTTTTGCGAAGGAGAAGGGAAATAAAATTTGCATGGGAATCACTTGGAGGGAGAAAATGCGTGCGTGCGTGGCCCATGACATGCAACAATGGCTTTGTGTTTTCTGATTCTGACAGAGAGTTGAAAGTTGAATTATTTCCTTTTTTCTTTTCAATTTTATATTTCCATCAATTTAAGTTTAATCCGTAGCAGAAAACAATGCGTAAAAAAAACTCGTTTTGAACTGATAAATGAGCAAAAAAGATCTGTTGAACGATGGAAAAATTAACTTTCAGAACGCTTAAATGTTTGGAAAATTAAATTTGTAGGATTTAATTTTCTTTCATAAATTATAAATTTTTTTATTTTTTATTAAATTACGCCGTTGATTTAGAATTTTACAAGTTGCAAGCGCAATAAACGACAATTAAAACCCACGGAATTCAGTGTTGAAAAATATGTTCATTGAAAAGAAATGAAAAATATAGTTTGAAGCAGGTTTGAAGCAATTAATGTTAATTTAATTAAAATTGTGTTTTGCTTACAACATGAAATTATTAATTCATTCATTCTTTGGTAAATAGTCTATGGATTTTAAATAATTTTTACGTTATTTTAATTAATGAAGTCTGCAGTCGATTCTGAATTTCAATTTAAAAACACCTTAAACTGTCTGTAAAAACATCTTAAAATAAATAAGTTTGTATTTGTCTAAGTCTTTGTCATTTAGCTGATTTTAACTTTTCTTGCCCGAATTAACCGAATTTATTTCAAATTATATTTTATAAAAAATTATTTCGCAATATTTGTACTCACAATACTGATGCAAGAGAAGCAGTCAAGAAAAAAATGAAGTCCAGAAAGTCCTCATTCCTCATTCGTCCTGAAATTACAAGTACAATTAAACGACGATAATTATAATCAAGCATGATTACATTTCAAGAGTGTAAAATTCAGATGAGTTCGCCTCACTCTCCATTTATTGAAATGGGAGAAGTCTTGGTGGAGAAAGAGAGAAGAATTCAACATGATTCAACAGGCGAGAAGGCAAAAGTAGGCACTTTTTCCAGCACCCTCCAGTTTAAACCACGTGGTCTCATCCACGGCAGACCTTCTTTGTCGCCGGCCTGCCTGCCTGCTGCATTCTCCTTCCTTCCATCACATCAGTCTGTTTCTGTTTTCAGTGTTATTGTGACGTGTGTTGTGTTGGAGAAAAGCGCAGCCGAGTGAGTGAAAACATTTCGGCTGCCTTGTGAAAAAAGGACTAAATAGAGAAACGGCAAAGGCACTCCAATTTGGGCTTTTGCAAATAAGGACGACAGAAATCTCACAGTTTATCAAGAGAGCTAATTTCAGTCTCCCATCGAAGTTTTGATTTTGAAAATAAGCTTCAGATTTCGTTTGAAATACACGTGGTTTTGAGGTGTTTCCATCGTGCATCGCCCTCTGGTAATTATATTTTTAATTTTGCCAATTGGTCAATAACACAAATCAAGCGCGATTTTTGACTCTTGACTCACGAAAGAAATAATTATATAAAAAAATTTAATAATTCACACTCTTATATTATGTATTATTTTCAAGTCTTTTAATCCCTCTTTGGATCGTCTTTTCAAACTTTTTGTTATGAAATTAAAACTTGAATACATACACACTATTTGCCGCGATCACTTCGTAAATATGATGTTATTTCCAACTCGTGTTATCGCGAGCAGTTTCATTCAACTCAATTAAAACAAGGACGACCCAAATCTAACGTCTTAAAATAATTCGCCTTCACCCCTCGAGCCATCAAGTCCAGTGAGTGACACAGTAGTCTTATTAAGCAGCGTAATTAAATTATGTAATTTTGTATTGATCATTGTTGTTATTCAGTTGGGTTATTTTTTTTTATTAATTTGAAAATTGCGATATCTCAGTTATTTTGGGTTTTTTTCTTTAGTGACATAAAAAAATTGATACTCTTTTCAAAAAAATTTTAAGAATTAAGGACACTCATTTAAAGGGAACATAAGCAGCAACATTAAGGAAGAAGCAAAGGCAAACGAGTTTGTGCAACACTGCTCTTTAACAAAGTAAAAAGTACAACAAACCGGTTACATTTTGTAATACATTTTAACTTGAGGAAGGCAATGGTAGGGCAATGGCAGCCAAAGATGCAATTATTTGTTTTTATTTCAAAGTTGAAGTATAGGCACAAGAGAAATTTTAATTTTTTTTAACCTTGTTTCCCTTTCTCCTTTTCTCTGGCTGTATAATGAACGGAAAGATTTGTGGTGTGAACTTGCTTGTGGTTGCGGATTAAAATTATTAATATTTTTTGTATGGTTATTGATGATAAATATTGCTTGCGTTTACATTGAAATAATTACTCTCTGTTATTATGTCACACAGCTTATTTTGTCATTTGTTTCAAAAATTAAATTTTTGTCATTTGTTATTTCCTTAAAAATATACAAAATGCAATTTTAATGCTGAAGGGTTTTTTTCTTATATCTTTTGTATGATTTCAGATATTGAGATGGGTGATGCTGCAATCAGTGTCAAGGACCAAGACAACGCCTACGAAAGGCCCTTGCTAAATCTGAAACTGCAGGTCAAGACCGAACCTGGAGATTTTCAGCCCTCGCCAGTGCTCATAAAAACTCCTCCTCCGTGGGCAAAGAGTAAGTCGAGTAATTATTATTCTCTCAGTCCGCCAGTTTCTTTGTAACATAATTGAGCTGCAGTAGGATTTCAAGGCTACACTTTTCTTGAAACCTTACTGGTTGGGTCATAATATTGTGAATGAAAAAGAGACAAAGATGCGCCCTCTTTCATTTTTATTAAATTGGCTTGAAGCGTCAAATGAAAATAAATATTGTGTTTGCTTTTACTGCATGTGTTTCAACTTATGGGGATGAATGGGTGTCAATTGTTAGACTACAAAGTGTTTGGTCATGCTTGGCGTAGCTTAATTCATTTGGATCAGAGGTCCAATTTTTTTATGAAAAATATGCATTTCAGAATTTTTTCCGAGAAGAAAGTAAACAGAACTTTTTTTATAAAGACCCAACCTAACGGGACTCTTTGGTTGCACAATTGTTTTTTTTTCTTGTACTGGGATGGCACAGGAACCAGGACAATTTTTTTGCTTACAAATTTAGCGCACTTTTGTATTAAAATATTTTTTTATATAAGATATTGTTGAGAAAATGGTTAAAAACAGTGGATTAGAATTATAAACATTGGAATTTTTTTTATTTAATAAAAAATTTATGTAAAGGAATATTTATATATTCTAAAAGAAAAATTGTAGCAAAAATTAGTTTCTAATGTTTAATTTGTCTTTAACTTGAAATAATAAAGAGGCTGCGTGTTTTAAAAGCACACAAAAAACTTGTTTTGCGCCGTCTTTTTTATGATGAAACGAAAAAATTTATTATTTAATAAAATTTCATGTTGCAGAGTTCACCAGTACCATTTTGGCTCCTATAAGCAATGAAAAGTGGAAGGCTGTGCAGCCGACCATGAAGGGGGTGGACGAGTTTATACCTCTGCAAATGAACGAGGAGGAAAAGGTCACTGCTGCTGTTGAGCTCACCGTCATGAAGATGCTGACCGAGATCAGAGACAGGGTGGAGAAAGAACAGTTAATTAACACCGTAAATTCAACGTCAGACGTAGATATGGGCACAGAGTGTGAGGACGAACACGAAGACCACTTGTCAAGCGGGAATGAGACGGAACAGGAAGCTTCTGGTGCAATTCAAGAGGTGCAGGAAAATAATAATCAAGAATACATCACCCTTGAGGATGAAGAGGCTGGCATTGAAGAGTTTAAATCAACGTCCCTCCAAGTCAAAATAAAGTTGGAGAAAAATTCCACCAGCACAAAGACTTCCGATGGTCCCAAGAAGAAAGAAAGTGTTTCTCAGTGTGATCTGCGAAAGAAATTAATTGACCTGCGAAATGAAAACTCAACTGACCAGAAGCGCAGACGAAGTTCATCACTAGAGAGTTCCGAGCATATTAGCCACTTGCCTACAAAACCAGTGAGCTCTCATTAAAATATTAGTGTCCGTTCTTAATTTGAGAATAAGCTAAAAATTCAATTAATAAAACTTAAGGAATATAATGTATATATTTTAAATTTTTTTATTGTGTATTCTAAATTGAGGTACATTTTATTTAATAATAAACTTTGTTTTCTCTTTGCTTAACAGAAAGTTCAAAAACTACGGAAAGATCAAGTTAATATTTTGCCTATTGCTGATGATCTCAATAAAATGCGTAAAGACAGAATAGGTACTGATTGTGAAATCAAAGTGCAGGATGAGGTAAGGAACTATTTTAAACAAAAATAAAAAATAAGTTAATTTATGTTTAGACATTTTACTGCCACTCAATTATCTTGAAAAGATGTGAGGGTAGCTTCTTCCGAGACATTCTGAATGAAGAAGTTGGATACATTTTGCAAATCGAAGATATTAGTAAGGAGACCTTTGAGATCATCTTGCAGTAATTACAACTAAATGCAACTATTTTTATATTTATTAATGCTAAGTATTATTCAGGTATTTGTACACAAGCAAAGTGGATTTGATGTCTCTTGACGAAGCAGAACAAGTGCTTGCAGCTTCTGTGATGTTGGATCTGAAAGAGCTCATTGAACACTGCACACGGTTTTGTACTCAACAGTTGGGAGAAACAGAATCTTCATTTTGGAAAAAGTTAGATGAACTGCTTAAAGATCAGCCACGTCCTTATCAGATTTGTGTAAGTGTTAATTAATTTTTAATAATAATCAAACAAATTTGCATTTTATTGCAGCTCTTTGGAGTTGGGTCTTTTAACAATCTGCTGACAAAAAAAGAATTCCTTTCGATCAGCTACAACACACTGCACTTTGTTGTGGAACAAAGTTACCTCTCACGTTGCACTGAGAAAACACTGATCTTGTATGTGGAAGAATGGGCCACTTATCACCTCAGAAACGCAAACATCGAAGTCAACTTTGAAAACTTGAGGTCCATTATCGGCCCTGTTTTCTACAAACTGCGTTTCCTTAGTCTCGGCAAGGAAGATCTTTTGGAGCTTTTCAAGCAATCACAAATCATTTCCGAGAAGGAGAAACTTGCCATTCTTGAGAGTTACGTCTCTCAAATCGACGAGCCCCCAAATGAAAACATTTGTCCCATTAAAGCAGTCAGGTATTTTTGCTGGAAATCTTTATAAATTAAAATATTTAAAATTTATTATTTCGTTTCAGAGACTGTACAAGGGCATCTATCCTCCACATTCCAAAATACTCGCACAGCACCAAATACATCTATGTTAACTCATCAAGCACAAAGTGCTCATTTGTGTTTGCTCCCAATGTTGACATGCTGCTGCTCGGTTTTCAATGTTACTCCAGGGTAAGAATTTTTAATTAATGTTAAAATCCAAAATTTTGAATGATGTTATTGCAGATTTCAAAGCAAAACGCCAGAAAGAAAAAGGTGTACAATGAGATGATGACAGCGCAAGTGCTTCGATTGGATGGCAGCAATATCGAAATTCTGAGAGAAGTGACAACTTCGGACACATTTGAGTACGATTCATACTTGTCTGTGAAATTACCTACTCCTGTAACATTGAAGAAAAGCAAAACCCACAACTATGCCATCAAAATAATCCTACAGGGTTCTGGCACTTATAAACTAGTGGAAAACAACTACCATGAGTTGAAACCTTTCATTGATCACTACATCGAGCCCCTAAGGAGTGAGTGGTGCTGGGGGAATGATGGAATTTTTACCTCATTGAGGTACAAAGTTCTGAAATAATTAAGTCAGCTTTTGACTCTAGTTATTAAACGCCTACGGATCTTCAATTATGGATGGCTAATATTGGTAAGTATTAATTTATTAGGCTAATTATAAAAATTGAGAAAAATAATTATGCACTATATATACAAAAGTTTGTCGAATATTCTAGTGCTATTTTTTTTATCTGCCTTGACCACGGCAAAGGTTCTCTAATGCGTAAGATAATATCATGCAGCATCATTCATCAAACATGTTACAATTTTTCTAGAAATGCTGTTGCAGTTACTATTCATATTAATATTAGCTTGAGAAAATTCAATCAAAAGCTGTAACTAGCGATGTTAGCTAGAGCTAAATTTAATATAAATATGCTTTAGTTTTAGGGTATGAGAATGATCTTGTTGTCAGTCAACATTAATATGTCATTTAGTCAATCTTGAATTTACATTTACTAAATTATAGTATCATTTTACTTCTACTCCTTTGCATATAATATCATTAAAATAATGAGAAAAGTTAAAATAAATTTATAAAGCCAAATTTATGCGTTATTACGATATTTTTTAATTATTATTATGGTTTTTCGCAAAGAGAAGAACTGTTGTGTCATTTTTTCCCAACCTGCAAGCAAGCTCTATACCTATATGCTTATAGAGAGAGCCCAATAATATTGATTGAATTGATGTTTAGATTGGCGTCCATCTATTCTTAATTATGCCTGCATGCTAGTTATTAATTCATTATAACAAATGTTTTCCTTAGCTTATTAAACTGTGTGAATGTAATCAAATTAAATCAATAAAAAATGTTTAATAATATAAAATAAAATTATTTTTTTATGGTAGTATAAGCTCTTATATAAATTATAAGGAGATGTGCAGATTGAGCACCTGTGGCCCCTGGAAAACAAGTGTTACATTAATTGCAAGATTGACCAAGTATTAGTTGATCAGGGGGCTGTAACTTGAAACCTCTCATTTTCGTGATTTTACCGCCTTGACTAGATTGAATAAACTTTTTTAAATGGGAAAACCCCTTAAATTCTAAATTATTATAAAAATCACAAAATACAGTAAATTTGACTGCGCGTCTCACAATCATCGGCATGTTACAATTTTTGCACTTAAAAGTCTGTTAAATGTTAAAAGATAGCCTATATAGTATCACTTGAGAAGAAGGACACCCTGTTTTGAGCATAAAAAATCTAACTTGGGTGTTACGGTTAAATCTAAAAAGTATGCTTTGATTTTTTCCCCCGAGTCCCTGCTCTTTAGAATTTACCCACGCAAGGCGGTTTGCCACTTGACAGAAACGAGCCATGACAAAATTATGTATTCGTCAATAGACACCCCGCCACAGCGCATGTTAGAGACGCAGGAGTGCACGCAAACGCACTTCTTGCTTCGGCAGAATTAAACCAAACAGTGCACTTTGAACTTTTCCACGCCAGTGTGTTGCAGAGACGAAAGAGCAGTTTATAGTTATAGTTTAATTTTGAGCATTATATTTTACTCGAAAGGATTATTGAAATAATTGTGCTCCAGGAATTCAATCTAATTTTCATTGTAGGGTGATGGAAAAAGAGGGACATGAATTTTATTTGAAGAAACCAAGTAAGTCATTTTTAATTTTTTTGCAAACATAAAATATTTATAAAAACTGTTTTGAAATCTAAATGTCTAAAAGGTGCAAAATAAATTGTTTAAGCTGTAAATTCTGTAGCTTACTTAATCTTTTGTGCAATTTTTTATTATCTTTATTGCGTACGGTTAATCCAATAATCTAAAAAATTAAATCATAATTTAATTAATTTACACATTAGGATTAGCGCGCTTTATTTTGCCCCTCTCAAAAATTTAAGTTATAATCGCGCGACTTTTATTGAATTATTATTATTTTACTGTGAAATCCAGTTAGCTTGTGAGATTCATATAGTGATTATAGATCCATATTTTTTAATCTTCTTAGCCTTTTAATTTAAATTGGTGTTAAGTTATTTAATCAAGGCTTGAAATTTGAAGTATTGTGTGCCTACGCTGATAAATTTATTTAGCATTAATATTTTTGTTTATCATTGCAGAAATAGAGTTTGATACAAATGCTGAGCAAGGTGCGAGCAGTGCAAACTGCGGGACTAAGCTTGCGCTTTGTGAAATCAAAACGGAGCCTTTAGACGAATATTGGCCAACGCCTGTTTTCACTATCGATGCTTGGAACCAGTTGGAAAAAGGTAAGGAAATATAAAAAATATTTGCAAAAATTATTTAAAAAAATTGCATGATAATCTTTCGTTGACTTGTTTGCGGAGAAAAATAAATGAAATTTAGCTGTATATTTGTTCACTTGAAACAGTGTTGATAGCTAGGGTTTAACTTAAACTAATTATATAATGTGGTTTTTATGGGGTTTTATTAACAACAATGCATATTGATCTTGCCTTATACCAGAAAAAGATTATGAGCTTTTAAAATTTTCAAATTTGGTAGAAAAGATCCCTAAATTTAGTGGAAAATGTAAATCGTTCAAAACTTAAAAAAAGCCATATGCACTGAATCGAAGCAAGGAAAGTGTTGGCATTATTATTTGCCCAATTGTTTATCAAGCTTCGCTCTGCATCTGCTATGCAAGCTGGCATCACGCGCATATCCTCCCTTTTTGAAGGTAAAGGCCGTAAAAGCAATAAATAAGCACACTATATAATGCAGTATGCAATACCTCCCAGTAAAATACCGTATATGTTTGTGTCCATTAAAAAAGGGGGCTATAATTAAATGAGAATAAATTAATTGAGATAATATCATTCCATTGTATTAAAAAGATAAAAGATTTTTGCAGGTTAATTCCTGCTGATTCCTGCGGTAAAAATTCACTGGCTAAATTCAAAAGATTGGTCACGCCACAAAGTAGATTATTTGTGACATATATGGCTCAATTTATGGGACGCTAGATTGAGACATTGCACTTTGTTATAATGCTGATAATCCAAATAAAGATCGCGTGTTTAAATAAAATTATAATATAATTTAATTTTTCTAATAATGATTGCATGAATTTTACAAACAGTTAAAATTTTATCACAAATGACAAATAAACTAATAATTAAAAAATAAATTAATAATTATTTGGAAGTAAAATTTAAAATTTTCCTTCAATTCAAACACGTTGTCAAAGTAAATTATAGAAAAAGAAGTCATATGTTCTAAATATAAATATTTCTAATCATGAGTATTTTATATTTCATCCCAATTAAATTGAAACAAAATAATTATTAAATTTATGTACGTATGCTGAGCATTACAGGCATACGTTACTTTTTATCAGACGAACACCCTTAAGAGACCTTGCTTAGAACGCCACCACAGCAAACTATTTTTGAGCTCAGGTGCGCTGGGTGCGCTACCTGTGCAGCGCACGCATACTTCACTGTACTTTCTTTTTCTAGTTTGCTGTGGCACACGTGTTCATTGTTTTGATTTTGAAAAAAGATTTTATTTTGTTACACACTCAACTATTCCAAAATTTATAAGCCTCACATTTCAACAGATGCTATGGGTAAATATAATTTATCGTTTATATTATGAGTTTAATTCATAATTCCAACAAAATACCTAATTATATTTGCTATGTTTGACCCCTTTTTGAAATAATAATTATTATTATTATTTCATTATTATTATCATTATTATTATTATTCGTATATTATACGAATGGAACAACCCTTATTTTTAAGAGTTATAAGCTCCTAACAAGAACCTTTAAAATGTGTAAACGTGTAAATTATATTGTCCGTCTATCCTAAATGGTACCGTAAAGCGTTAAGCTCGAGAGTCTTAGGAACTTGTTTTGGTCGATTAAATAGAATGAATTAGACAATGAGGAAATTAACCCAAAAAAAAAAAATAACTTTTACAATTTCAAATTGCTTATAACAATAAATTAATTTGTTAAGAATTTTATATTAACTATATATTTTACACATAATTTTTTTTAATGTGCTGTTATTATTTATAAAATATTATTAATAAATTGATAATATTTAATAAATAATTCATTTTTTAAGTAATTAAGAAAATTATAATCTTTTTTATTAATTACTTTTCATCTTTCTCAAGAAAAGAAAATAAAAGAGTATAGTATTTCAAATTTATAATTAATATTTTCCAGCAGCGCAATATTCGACAGTGCTTGATATAAGGGTAAAAAAGTTAATAAAAACTGATTTGTAATTTTCTCTCTTTGTTGCAGAACATGCTCGATCCATTCAGGCCCCTGTTGTTGGCAGTGAGCTCCAGATATCAACTGTACCAATTATAACCGCTGAAGACAAAGATTTGCCATACAGTAAAAAGGAAGAAAATGTCATTGAAACTGTTGGCGAATCCGTTGGAAATTTGTTAACAGCTGTTAAAAAAAAGGCCGAAAAGGAGCAAACTGATCAGGATAAACACATCAAAGGCGCTAAGACATTAGATGCCAATTTTAACACCAATTCATCAGGCAAAAAGGATGACAACTCTCAAGACACCAATGGTCAGAATAATGGAAGCAATGAAGAAAACGATAAAGACCAAATTAATACGTAAGAAAAGATTTTATATTAAATGTCTTTCTTCAAAATCATTTAAATTACTGTCACAAAAGCGCCAACAAGGAAATTTCCAAAGTGCACCCTGCTGGAACAAATCAGGAGAACCAGCCTGAAATACATGGCAATGTGAACGGACGAAGGCACCAAAGCTCTCCATTAAATCATCTCAGCCCTACTAAGAAACTGGTATATTTATTATTTTTTAGTTTTTGATAAGTTCCAAATAGTTTTAGATTGAGAAGAACTTTTTGCTTTAAATATAAAATAATTTTTTTTAGCGTTTGGAGAAACCTCGGAGACTTTACAGTGACCAATCCGAAATTTCTCCCATTGCGGATGCACTTGTGAAAATGCGCAAAGATAAGATAGGCACAGACTGCGAAATTAAAATCCAAGGCGAAGTAAATTTAATTTACCACCTTACAATCTTAAGTTGTAATATAATATTTTGTACGTCTAGATCTTTCATTGCCACTCCGTTATCTTAAGGAGACACGAAGGAAGTTTTTTTCGAGAAATTTTTGAGAATAGCAGCATGGAAAATGAATGCATTTTCCAAACAGAGGAGATCAGCAAGGCAACGTTCAAAAAAATTTTGCAGTACGAGTGAAATATAACGTAAAACTTAATTTCTATTAAATTTGGTGGTGTCTGAAATTAGATATCTGTACACAAGCAAAGTGGATCTTTCGAGCTATGACGAAGCCTTGCAGATGCTTGCTGCATCGAAAGAGTTAAAATTAGACGAGCTCGTCAAACACTGCACTCGATATTGCACTAGGCAATTACTTGGTGATGAAGCATCAATTTGGCAAGCATTGGAAGACCTCCTACACAATCAGCCTCAACCTTATCAGTTGTGTGTAAGATTTAGTTGGTTGTGTTTGAATTTTTTGTATTAAAAATTACTTATTTCAGCTATGTGGAGTAGCATCGTTCAACAAACTGATTTTCAAAAAAGAATTCCTCTCAATCAGTTACAACACACTTCGCTTCATTGTGGAGCAAAATTTCCTGCCAAACTGCAAGGAAAATATTTTGGTTCATTATGTGGAGGAGTGGGCCAAACACCAACTCGGAAAGGAGAACATCGATGTCAACCATGAAAATTTGCGTGGAGCTCTAGGTCCAATTATTGGCAAATTGCGTTTCCTTTGTTTCCGAGAGGAAGACTTCCTGCAACTTTTCAGGCGGACGCTTTTGATCACTGAGAAAGAAAAGCTCGCTATTCTCGAGAGCTTCCTCTCCGGTTCTAGCAACGCCCCGGCGGAAAACATCAGCAGTGAGAGAAAAACTAGGTATATCTTAATTTGAATAAACTTGTTTAGAAATTTATGAAGGATATTTTATTTCAGAGATGGAAGCCATCCAAATCTATTTCGCATTCCGAAATACCCTATGAGCTCAGACCAACTGTTTGTGGACCCATCTTCACCAAGTGTGAGGTGCTCGTTCGTATTTTCACCCAACGTCGACATACTCTTGCTTAGTTTCCAGTTTTTTGCAAAGGTGCCACATCTACTGTTTTGAACCATTAAAATAAAAGCTAAGGAAAATTTCAAATTTTCAATTTTTATAATTTCAGATTTCAACAGACATAATCTGCAATGGTGGTTTTTACACGGAGCGTATCACCGCACAAGTCCTTCGAATTGATGGATCCAATGCTGAAATTTTAAGAGAGCTGTCAATTTCGGAGCTTGTGGAGTACGACTCGTGTTTGACTGTTAAACTGCCCGCGCCCGTGATTTTGCACAAGAGCAACGTTTTCTGCTACGCCATAAAAATCATTCTTCACAGCGCTGGCACCTACAACACGGAGCAAAACAACTACAACATCTTGCAAACTTTTGACCAGCATAACATAACGCCACTCAAGAGTGACTGGTGTTGGGGAAATGATGGAATTTTCACCGGGTTCAAGTACAAAGTTATAGATTAAATGAGCCATAAATCTGTGGTCATCATAGATCAGCATTTTTCATGTCTAATTGGCACATCTTATTAAAAAACTTTTAAGCATTAAATTTGTCCCAAAACGTAATCGTTCAGTGTCTATATTCGTCTATTCATCATGTATAAAAATACAACAGGAAATTAAAAAATGAGAAATCCTTGTACCATGAGTGTCTACCCATATTAACATATTAAATAAAAAGCATTTATTAAAAACAGCCTATTATGTATGTTAAATTCATTAAGCGCATTTTTTTCAGCCTATTTTATATAATTTTTGTGTATGTAATATTATGAATGCATGTCTTTTAATAAATTGATTTTTAAAAAAACATTTTGACTGTTATCCTTGATTTTTTTACCATTAAGATTTAAAGAAAAAAAATTGTTCTATTGGAAGTGATTGGAAATTTTTTTTAGTAAATAACTTTTTTGTTGATTAAGCTTATTCTGTGAACTTAATTCGATTTAGACTTTTTTCTTACAATAGAAAAAGTGCCACGCGTCAACATGTATTTACATTAATATATTTAACTCCCCAATCATCATTAATTGAGGAAAAATAAGGGTTTGTAAACTCCATCAGCAGCGCAGCGGTTAAACCAACTACACAAACTTTTTTCAGGAACACGCGTTTGTTGAATTTTTATTATTAATTATTATTTTCCACATCCTTGCAATTCGGAATAAGATATATTGATAAAGGAGGACAAATAAAAAATCATTCCATCATCCGAGTTATTCCTCTTGCAGGTTTTCAAAGAAAAATTTATTGAAGACAGAGGCGTTAAAAATTAAGATTGAAGCATATTTGCCCACAATATTTTTAAGTATAAATAAATCCACACTTAAAAAAACTTTTTCTGCAAAAGTTATACAAATTCAGTTCATTTATTGCTGTTGCCAAAAATTAAATGTAAGTGCGTCACAAAATAAAATTTTACGAGTATAATAGAACAATTGGATAGAATATTGACAATGGCTTAGTGTTATCCATTATCTCGGAGCATCAGAATTGCACTCGGTCGTGCGAAAAGCAAGAGGCGGCTGCGTCAATTAAAGCTGCTCAGACGCAAGAAGAGCTATTTGTGATTGTATAATTTTACAACTCCCATGTTACCTTACAACGTTTGTAAATTAATAAAAAAAAGGCGCATCATTAAGCGAAAACCAACAGAGATGTTTTTAATAAATATTGAAGTTAAATTCTTATCTTTTCTAGCAGTAATTTTTTATTGCATTTTCAGGAATATAAAAGCATGCAGGGTGCACTTGCTTGTTCACTGTTAACTAAGTATCACATCTGCACATCAAACCTCCAGCAGCAATGCAGAAATTGTAAGTTTTGCAATATTCAATTAAGTGTTTTTGCTTGTTCTCTATTGCTATATAGTATCGATTTAATTATATGCTAGAATGAGTCAAGTGTATGTTACATTAATTTAGTTGAATTCACTTTAAGTCATCCATCAATCAAGGATTAGATGAAGTCTATTACAAAAGATTCTGATATAATTATTATGACTTTTGATAAAAAAAAAAAAAAAGCATTTTATAAAATATAAATGCCAAAAATATCATCAGAAAAAGTTTGTACGATTTACAAAACGATTTACGAAATATAAATACCAGTACATCGATCTGCTTATTTTTGCATACGAGTACTAATGTTCTCATTTTAACTAAACCTTTTCACGTTCTGCGCGCTGCGAGAAATCAGACACGCTCTCATGAGCACAAAACGCACAGATTGCACTTCCGTGAGAATTTTTAAGAAAAAATTCTTGATTGACGCTGATAAGATAATGGCTTATAATTAACGGCTACCGCGATGGCATTCACTGAAATTATATAAAGGCAATAATGATATTCCAAGATGTTCTCTTGTTTGATTGGGATATTCCGTTTATTTGCATTATTATTATTTTTTTTTTAATTTCATTGTAAAATTAAAGTAAAAATTGTCTGCTTGGTTTTATTAGGATTGTCCATTTGAGTCTGTATTTTGAGGGAGGGACGATACAAATCATAAAAAATTTCTGTATCACTTTATTTCGGCAGTGAATAATTTTTATTGTTAGCAGATTTTTACAGTTCGCGTTTTTTGAGTCGAAAAAAGAGAATCAAAAGTTTATTCAAACATTTTCTTCAATATCAGAATATATTATGCATTTTATTTTTGTAGAGTTTTGGCAACACTGCCTCTCACAGGTGGTCTACTTCTCTGAATTTTATAAACGACCCTTTGTCAGATGCTTGGGTAAATACTTTACCTGCGTCCATCGGGAGGAGGGCGATTTCATGTTTGGTTGCTCATTCCACAGAAAATAAATATTTTTCCATATTTCTTTTCAAAGACGCTGACCATTGCTTTATAATCCTAGAGGCGACAGCACTTGTAAATACACATCATAGTTCAAAAAGAATTAGTCACGCTCCCTCAGCTTTTTCTGCTGCTGCGTTCAACCCTATCTTTTGTCAGTCACGCTGGCAGCCTATTCTTCTCCTATCTCTACTCTCTGCGTGAGCTTAAATTTTTGGCAGAATGAACATGAATTTTCTAAAATATTTTAAAGCAATGCTGTGCAATACTCGGTATTTGTCAGAGTAGAAAATGGAAAAAGAATTAAATTGAAAGGTAAAACTTGAGGTGGATTTCATGGAGAATTTAAACCGGACAAACCGAACCTCGTTGCAAAGAAAAAATGAAAAAAAAATCTGCAATTTTTTGTTTGAAATAAAATTAAATTCTCAAAATTTAATTTTTAATTTTTTATGAATTCCTCGCACTTAGTTTTAGTTTGGACACGACAAAACCCAAGGTTTTTAAAGTACCAGCATGCGCAGGTCGCCTTTTGGGGTCAGTTGTCCTGTATTTTTTCATTTTTTCTTTGCCACGAGGTTTGCCCGGTTTCAATTTTTGTGAAAAAGAATTAAATTATTATTCAGCATATTATATTGAATTTACGGTTTTGCAATTAATTACTAAAAATTTGGCACTTTGTGAAAAGGTGAAATATTAAATGGTCACAATTATTTTTTGATTTCAGCACCATTGCGATGGCCGTGTGCCTTGTTATGGCCGTCTCAAGTGCCGAGGCCTTTCGCCTTCCATGGCGTCCACCAACCCAAAGTCAAATTGACGATTTGAGAAACAAGTTTGAGCAGGAACTCCAGAAAATTAGGGATCAATTGCAAAACGCGTTAAATGCTGCAGCCCCAGTTGCCAAAACTGACTTTTATCCGGATATTATCCTCTCCAGAGAGGGTAATATCCGGATAATTTTTCGATTTTGGCAGCTGGGGAGGAAGCACCACTGTCGCGCTGCCCGAAACCACCTTGCCAGCAGAAATTACCACACCAGAGTTACCCTTGGAGGGAAGCACTACCTCCGCGCCCGTAGATGTAACCACCCCCGCAGAAGAAAGTACTACCACTGTTGCGCCAGAAAGCGAGTCCACAGCGGCTTCAGAAGTGACGACCCCTGCTGAAACCACTGCTGAGAGCATCACCTCCACTGCAGCCACGACCCCCGCTCAAAATGAGGTAAATTTCCATGCATGTAATATACTCCTAAATTATTATGTGAATTTTTGGAAGTTTTTTTAAGTGAATAAAAATAAATCAAAAAGCTCATGTAACATAAAATATTATTTCTGTGCTTACAGGACAGCGACGAATCGGACAGCAGTGAATCCAGTGAATCTAATGAGAGTAAGCCAAAGAATTCTAAGGAGAAGAACTCCAAGGAAAATTCAAAGGATAAGAACAAGGATAAGAACAAGGGTGGAAAGAAATAGGTCCAAGCCCAGAAAACAATAGTAGAAAGTGAGACGCGTGTTGCAATATAAATAAATTTTTAAACTCTCACAACACATTTTTAATATATGCATTAACGTATTCAACGAGCTATGCTTAACTATAAATACAAATATGTATGGAACCTCTAAATAAACTTAAAACATAAATCGTTAAAATGTTAGTGTTTCAATATTTTTTTGTCATTAAACCCATAAGTTATATTTTCTAAACGCATGATCTGCAAACAAGACACAACTCTACACTAAAAAAATTAGAGAGAAAAAACACACACACTAAAAAATTAACAACAATCTACAAAAGTGTTCAACTCTGTGATATAATTCAATTATGCATTCAAATTGATAAATAAACTACGATTCAATGATTCAACACATGAAAAAATTTAATTCTTTTCTTTTGCATATATCAAAACTTAAAGTAGTAATTTTACTAATTTTATATATTTCACGTTCAAATTTTTCTGCAGCGCTCTTTTAAACAAAACTAAGTCATAATTAATATCATTGATGATGAAATAAATGGCCATAAAAGAAAAACTAAAGCCTTTATAGATTTTGATATCTGACGCTTGTTTTATTTGGGGGCTTATACAAGCTCACTTTTTACAAGCCACTGGAAATTTCTACACTTTTTACGTCATTAAAGTTGGCAATTTTACTGCTTCTTTTGTTTGTTTTTACTTAAAACTCTAAAATATATTTATTCGCACATAGAGTCAGGTTTAGATATAGTTTGGCACTGAAATGAGAATGGTTTTCCTTATTTATTTTGCCATTTATTGCCGCTGCATTGGATAAGTGAGATTAAGTGATCAAACGAGATAAAGAAAGATCTCCATCTAAGCATACAACAACACGCGCACGCTCCAGCTTCTTGTTGTTATGGTATATAAAGAGCCGGTGGTTGAACTTTCCCAATTTATATTGCTCCTCATCGCGTTCAAAAAGAATATTCTGACCAACATGAGAAACTTGTAAGTGTCTGCACTTCATTTATTTTTTTATTCAACTTTTTATTCTGCAATCTCCCTTTAATTTTTTTCAATTTATTGCAATAATTATGTTTATACTTTTCATCAATTCATGGTCATCCAAATTAATAATTTTAGTGGCATAAACAGTGTGGTTGCCTTCAAGTTAATTTTTTTCTCTTTCAATTTTATTAATTTTGCTGTTTAACTGCTAATAAAGAACTTCTGTGCTGGATAAATAAATTTGCAAAAAGGATGGCCCCATCTGCTCGGTCATTTTTCCAACTATATAATTACTGCATGATTTACTTGCTTGTCACATATTCACACTGAGAACTTTTATCCGTACCAGATCCGTACCAAAAGCATTTCAAATGAAAATATGGTGCTTTATAATAATTTCATGACTAATAAATTTTTGCACTATTAGTTTTGTTCTAAATTCATTTGAAAAATAACATGTAACACTAAAAATAATCAATATCATATTAATTTTTATGCTCCATAGCAATTATATTTACTATTATTTCGCTTTTTATAGCAAAGAAAAAATATATAACATTTAAAATTTGCAGCAGTGCTTCAGTGGCCCTGTGCCTTTTGGTGGTTGTCTGCATCTCGCAGGCCCACCGACTGCCCATTTTCAAACCTCCGCCATTTTTGCAAGACAAAGTCGACGAGCTGAAAGACGCCGCCGAAAACTTGCATGACAAACTCGAGGATCAACTGAACCACATCAGGGACCATCTTAACGACCTCATCAATGGTGGCCGTGACGAAACTCTTCCACCTATTGAGACAACCTCCCTGCCCATCATCACAACCAAGGTAAAGTGTTAAATTGTGTCATAGTTGTGAGGAGCGTAAATAAGTGACTTGTGTTTGTTGAATTTTAAACTTAACATTTTAGGCAGTGAACCAAACTATACAGTTCCATTTTTTGTTGATTGATTATAAAATTAAAAAGTAATTAAAAAAAATAATAAAAAATGTAAAAATTTTAACGTCAAAAATTTCAAAAATATTTCATCATGTAATAATATCTGTCTAAACTTTAGGCCCCAGCTGAAGAGGAGAGCGATGAGTCAAATGAGAGTGGCAGCAAATCAAAGGAATCGAATGAAAGCAAGAAGTCCAAGGAATCAAATGAAAGCAAAAAGTCCAAGGAATCCGGTGGAAAATCAAAGTAGATCAGAATTTCCAAAAGGATGACACAGGTGTATAACTTGGGATGGTAACGACACTTCTTTTATATATCAAATTAATGAACAGTATAGAATTATTTCAAAGGTGTTTAGCCACAACTGAAAAAATATACTGTAATGCATAATGATATAATTTTTTATCTTAATAAACACAATTTGCAACTAAAAATAAATATTACACAATTTAATTGCATCCAAACCCCATGTTTTTCATTCTACGAAAAGATTAAAAACATAATCCAAGAATAGTAATTAATGCGCACATTTTATCAGCTAAATGTTTTCTTTTAATACCAACAATCAAGAAATTTTATGAAGTTTGATTCTAGGGTAATTTCTAAATTTTGTATTAAAATTCTGCAGCATTCGTAAATTCCAAAGCCAAGTGCTGGCTAAGCGGATATCTTAAAAAACAATTTTATTACTTAATCAGCCTCTTAGATACGTTATTATGACAAGAAGTTCATTCAATTATGTACATAATTATGAACAATTCATAAAATTAAAAGATCAGAAGATCCCTCATTCGGTAACAAATGGTAAAGGCAAAACGCTTGTCTCTATTGCGTGATGCGTCTTTTCCCGGGAGATGTTTAAAGTGGTATGTAGTGCAGATATGATATTCAATAAGTAATGAATTCTTAAAAAAATATTAGATCTATTCCTTAAACGTTGAATAACATTTAACATGCCATTGCATTATTGCCTATATTTCTCTATAAGTTGCAAAAAGGAGTAAGAAGTAGTGTTGCTAAAACGAAATTTTAATTTGAAGAAAAAATATAAAATTGTACTTACCAGGAAAATTCCTCGCCTTTCCTCCTCTTCATTCCAACGTTTATAGCAATAAAGCGACGGTGCGGGTGCGTGGGATGCCGAGCTGATGAATCTTGTTACACTTCACTTAAAACACACTCTTATTGTTAGGTCTTTTCTCTTTTTGACGCTCCGCAGTAAGTCCAGTAAATTGTAATTTAGAAAAATACGCCAGGATTTAATAAACCGAAAAAACCAGTTCATTATCGCAAACGGGAAAATAATTATTCGGCCGAGCTGGCTTATTAGCAAATAAAGAAACCGAAAGAAACATTTTTAATATTTAAACTAAAATGAGAATAATGACATTCTTAAATTTACAATTTACGACTGTTCCAGAGAAGCTTCTTAATTACGCTTGAACTCTGATCGTCTGATGTTTCCAAAAATTTAACGAATTTCTGGATGGTGATGGGAATCGGAGAATGCATGATTTGATTGCTTTTTGGATTGTGTGAAATTTGGAGTGGGCTCGTGGGTTGGGTTCACTGCTTCAAGTGCTTGACCGGCGCACGCAGCTCGACGCACACTTTACACAGAAAAATACTCAGCAACACGCGCCTTTCACTTCCACGATGTTATGTTTTGCTTTTGCGCGTTTCAGTCGGTTGGCGCGGCGCAATGTTGTCGGTGTTCGTTCATGTTCAGTCGTGAGTGCACAGCCGAGGGGGGACGAGCGCGTCGGTCTCGCCAGCGCTTGCGAAACACCTGGACCAGGCGAGCTGCTCTGGGCGTTCCCCGCAGATCGAAAACTATCATTCATAATCATAGTTTCGTTGTGCTGGTAATTACACAAGTTGCGCGACAGTTGAGTGAAAGTAGTGGCAGTGAATTTTCGGGCAGCGGTTTTGAGCAACGTCTTCTGTCAAGGCTGGAAGGCAAATACGTACGGACCGATAGAAACAGAAATACTGCATAGGTAAGGATTATAATTTCACTCCCAAAATTAAAAAAAAAAAGTTGCAGAGGTGGTCGAAATTTCCTGATTTTTTTTCTACTAATAATTGCCAAAAGTTATACGTGTTCCAATCACACACGTCTTTTGATTTTCCAATAATGATCTCTTAATAATTGACCTTTTTTCAGTTTGTTTCAAAAAAATGCCGAGTTTTTCTACTGTAACTGCAACATTTACTTCCTAACACGCTTTTACTTGAAAAAAAAAACAGACTGAAATTTCTGTTTACAATTATCTGCCTGTGGATTATTCGAGTTGTTGATTACTTTTTAAATTTTTTTTAAATATTATGGAAAAAGACTGGTATCTTATTAATAATATATTGTTATAATAGAATATAATTGGCAATATTAAATTTATATCCCGTTTTCTGAGTTCCTGTTCTGGTTAACTGTATAAAATCAAATTAAATTGCAATGGAATCTAATAATGCAGCATTCAACTTTGCATTCGACTATTGTTTCTAATGAAAAACAGGAATCAAAATAGCCAATCGTTGCAAAAAAGGCAGAACATCAAAGCGCAATGCTATATAATAGCCAGTTTAAGCATTGAATTTATTCTTTAAAATTTATAATTGAATTTTTGACAATGTCTCATAAAAAGAATTTCATTTTCTTAATAGAAGATAATTTTAATTAATTCTATTGTAATCTAAGCAACCAAAACATGTTGAATGCTATTTATGTAATTTCTGTTCACATTTGCAAAATGCTTATTAACAATAGGTTTATATCGGATTTGACACATCGTTTTTTCTGCAGAATGGACCGGTGTTTGTGTTTTCCGGAGGCAAAAGAAAGATTATTTTCTGAGAGAAGATAATTCTTAACAGCATCCCCCTCCCTCCGTGTTTAGAAAGTTGCTCTCCCCAAGTTTAAGATTACTGCAGGGTGATGCTGTGCAGTGTGCAGTTTTATCTCATTGATGCAGATCACGTTGCCTTATTCAAAGAAATACATAGTGCCACTTGCCAGCAACTTTGTTACACGTGCCTGGACAAAACAGGTTTTCTCTCTATGGCGTCTCCTAGCTGCGCAAATAGTATCGCAGTAAAATGATGCATCATCCTTGAAATCACATGCTACAATGGCCAATAATGTCTTCATTGTTACACTGAAACGCGTTACAATACTTCGCCCTAGTCGGATCACGTGTGAAAAAATTAAATAATAAATATTATATGTTCTGTCTGCAGAAAATTTGTAAAGAAATTTTCATTTAAAAAGAGAAAGTGAAGATTTTCGCTAATCATTTATATTTCTATTCTTTAATAGAGGAAAAATCAACCATCTTGAGAAAAGGCAGGCCTAATAAAGCGAGTAACAGTCTCTTGAATAATGCGTGACATGCACAGTTATTTAATTTTTGTGCCATTCTGATATTGTTGAGTATTAATTGCGCACAAATATAATGTTCTCATGAGAAACGTCTCTTGTCTCGCGAAATTTAACACCTACAGCGCTTTACACGACAGGAAAGGACTCCGTACATAATATACTTTACATTATTATTTAATGGTTATAATGTTATCCTTTCCGAGAGCTTTATTTGTCATACAAACCAGATTGTGTTGAGCTCATTTGAAGCCAAAAAAATGAAGCAGAACGTTTGGTAGGGCGATGCAGCCACATAACACTTTCTTAATAGTGTATTCAAATTGATTGTAATAAACAAGTTAAAATTAATTATGCGTGTGTTTAGAGGTAAAATATTTTACTATGCCGTTGGTTTTTGGGCTCCGATCTGTAACAATTAGCCAATAGCGGCCTTTCATCTCAGGTTAATATTTCTAGAATTTTCAAACTTTTTATGTCTGCAAGTTTTTATATTTTTAAGCAATTCAAATAATTTTTTTTAAATGTTGAATCTATTAATTACTTTTCTAAATTGAAATAATCAGTGATCAAAAATAAAAATAAAGAGAGAAAACTCGAGCAGACCCGCCGATCACATTTGGCAAACCGCCCAACTAAAATTGCAGCTGAGCTGGTCGAGCTGCTGGTAAATTAGCAGCGAACTTAAGTTGTTACAACATCACAGTCACGACACTTTGTTGCGCCACGTTAATTTTAATTTAGTCAGTCTGCATTTCTGTTGTGATGCGACAACCTCCTTACCGCACCGCTGATTTTAGTATATTTTAACTTTATTCTCTAGCATTAAAAATATAATTTCAGCACTGCTTCCATCTCTAGATTTAGTTGCTTTTGTACTATTTACCCTTTGACCCATCAAAGGTCAATATATTTCTATTTATTCATTTTTTTAGAACAAAAGGAAGAGAATACTGAGTCAAGGCAGGTCGTGTTGTATAAGGGAAATAAGTTATCTCTTTTAATGTATCTAGAGGGGCCTCTGATGAAATTCAAACATACTTATTTTTTTTTTTACTAATTTTTTTTACTTGTTGATTGAGACCGCATAAATACTTTTTTGGGCGCTAAATTTTCTGTCGGTTGCAGGTGACTTTTGTTAATTCTTGAAGTTTTTTAAAGGCACAATCGTATTTTAAGTAGATAACAAGCGTACACCGACTGGCATTGTTTTGCTTAAAATTTTTGTACTTTGCGTATAAATGCAAAACGCTTAAAATCTTGTCCAATTCTTGCTTTTAAAAGATAATTTAGAAGGTAGTTTGCGTTGGAGCGAGATACCAATGGCAATTAGTTTTTATCGCGACTTCTGTTTCCGGTGGAGCTGACAAGAGGCAAAAGAAAATCACTGAAGCAGCTAAATAAACAATTATATAGCGCAATAAAGTATTGAAGCAAATAGTGTACCTGAACTCTTATATATAAAGTTACAAAGATTAAAAAGTTCAATTACTGGCAATCCAATCCTATCCTGCAATTTGAATGAGAATTTCGTATTTCTCCCATGAGGAAATATTTAAATTTAAAATATTTGAAAAGGTGTTTAATGCTCAGTGCTCGGCCTTATTAATTAAAAATATTTTTCTTCTTTCATTGCTGTTTGTGTTATGTATTCCATATTTATGCTTTTGTTAAGAAGTTGACGGTCCGTCGAGTCATGGCTTTCAAATTCCCATAACCTCAAAAACTTTGCATACAATCTGTAATATTCTTAAAATGCGGTTAGCCATGCAGCACTTTTTTAATGTGTTATATTATTTCCTATAATGCAGTGTTGCCAGAAAGCGTTTGCAGATTCCAGACTCATGAAACTACCGTTCTCTACCTCGATGGTCTGTTGGTTGGTCTATATGTATAATTTTGTATGGCTTATGAGGTGGCTGACCTTCACTGCTTTAAGATTTACGTATACACGTGCCTTTTTCGCTCTTTGCCTAGATACACAACGCGTAGGCGCAAATCAACTTCTTTTTATCCTCTGAACATTTAATTTTGAAGCTAAAATTATGTTGAACTTATTTGGTAGATTTATGTTTAAATAACGCGGTTTAGTTTTCTAAAATATACAAGCCTTAAGGAAATTTTAATCATGCTGATTTGTAACCGATGCGAACACAATAAAATAAATATATTCTGCTGGCTTTCTAATTTCTTACTTCCGATTTTTATTCATTTTTTAATTCAAGAAATCAGTTGGAAATCAGCCGATTTCTTATTTCTTTGGGCATCACATGCATCTGTCTTATTATTTGTGAAGAAACAATGATAAAATATCTTTTCGAAAGGAATAAAGATTTTTGTACTGCTTTTAGGAAAAATTGAAACTTCCTCTAATTCAATTATATTTCAACTTTCACTTAATCAATTTATTTATTGATAAAAATTTAATAAACTTCAAATTTTATTAAAGAACTACTATTATATTTAAGGGATTGCATTTATCACAGAAACACTTCAAAACCTCATTTGATAGACACTGCTGTGGCCAATGCTTTTTACTTTTTTAAATCCAACATTATTTTTTAACTTAATTTTTTTTAAGAAATCAGAAAGTTAGTGTGTATACGCAGCTTTCAACCTTGGTCTCATTTTTTGATGCCTCTATTATTGACCCAGAAGAGTTTGCTCATTCTCGCAGTCAAAAAATGCGCGCGCACATCTGTGAATCACTTTTGCTCCGACTCTGCCTGATACTTACTATTGTTATTTTGAATAGAAACATTTAATACACCCAGTCATGCTCTGCAAGCGAATTCCTGTTCGTCCTGTGTTGCTTTTTTTTATCAACACGCATTATTTGCCCCTAAAAAGATCAGGCCGCCATCCTAGCATGGCAAATAATTGTGTTAATTGAGCTAATTCAATTAATAACGCTCACACATATGCGCACAGACTGGAATTTAAATTATTTTAAATAATTATTTTGTTTGGAAATATTGACACTCGAGAAGATGATCATGGAAGTGAAAAACTCAGGTTTTTCCTCATTATAAAAAATTGTTTTTATTAAAAATCAAGAAGTTACCATAGTTTTGGTCACGGTCTGCGACCTTATTTCATGAGCAAGAAAAAAAAATCAGCAAATATTGGAAAACCACATTTTTTAACAAACAAAATTAAAAATCTTAAAAATAACAAATGCAAGTATCAACCTATTTCATGAGCAAACGCGCTGCTTGCTGCCTATACAAGAAATGAGTTAACTAAAAAGACAGATTGACTGGGGAGATGATCTTATTGTTAATTGGGAGATTAGCGCGCAGCCGACCACGGGGGCGCCTATAATGACGTCAGGCACATTAGGCGCTTTTGAGACGAAGCTGTCTTCTTCCTCCCTCAAAGACAAATAAATTTAAAAAAAGCAACCATCAAAGACCTTCTATAAAAGCTTTTCTATCACAAGCAAAAGCCAATCTGGTTAGCGCAGAAATTTCATGTGCCCCTGAAACCAACTGCCCCAATTAAAATGGAGCAGGGTTCTGTGTACTTGAGGATATTGCGCTAAATTCCATGTGCAATCTATAAATCTTTAAAGCAATCATTTCATCTCGATCCTTGAGTAGTCTCAAGGAAAATCCAGAGCAGTTTTTTAGCCGCTCAAAATGTTTTATCTTTTTGAGACACTAAAGATAATTTTATTCTAACCTGCAAGAAAAAAAAATTAGTTTCTTTTTGACAACTAGTAATCTTGACATGTATTATATGTAACGAGAAGTATGTCAATAGGTCATTTTATTTGCATTGCATAGATTACATCATAGCTTGAGAGCGAACACTTTCCTATCCGCGCAATAAAAAAAATTGACACACCGTTGTCACTTTTTCATGGCTATATAGCGCCTCTAAAATTTTTAATCTACATGATAATATAAATTTTACTTTCTCCTGATAATATTCAGATTCCAATAATTATTTTACAATTTTTGTATCGAATTGTGATTCGAAGAATGTTTCCGTGATTTTTTTCTTTTAGAAAGAGAATGTAAATGTGACATTTAGTTTTATAATTTACGTAACGAATTAAAGGGAGAGTTTGTCTAGAACGGGTTGCCCAGGTCAGGAATCAGACAAGTGTGGCTGATGTGAAACTTAAATGTCCCGATCTTTATTAGGATTGATATGCTTTGTCTCCTTTGGTGCTCTAGGGGCGTCGTTCCATCCCGATGAGATCATCTTTCCGCAGCTGCGTGTCGGCCGCTCAGATCTTGGTGACTTCATCTTTCTGCAGCTGCAGATCTTGGCCTAGGTCCATAATAATTTCTTCCTTCGCAAAGGCGATTCGATTCGTCTTGCTAAAATTATGGACAGTGTCTTTAAAATTTCTGTTTTGTGCTATATTTCTTCTTTTTCAATGAAATTACTTATTTCAAATGAAGTAAATATTTTTAAAGTGGGTAGAAAATAGGCAAAAAGTATGAAAACATATTTGTATTGAAATTTTTCCCGAGCTCCAAACTTTGAAAGGAAATTTAACATCTTTGAACAGATTTTATCTTTAGCAGCATGACGAGTGAAGAAAAATGTACTAAAAAAGACATGTTATAAGACTAAAAAATTATATTTCCTTATTAAAACTTAGAAATCATATTTTAATGATTTTTCTCGCCCTTGAGCAATCGCGTCACTAGATATTTTAATCTTTAATTTTTTTTCATTCTCAATATTATATTATGGCTATTTACAAAACCATGCGAATCTTGTTCACAGTTGGATTTTTGACAAGTAATCATGCAGCGGCCACCGCGCATAAAAGCTGACCCAGATGGACCACCTATGAATATAAAAAGAGAGGAGGTGGTTTCAAGAATAACCATTCCTGCCCAGCAAAGCCAACTAGATTTGCGCACAAACCATACTGCTCAATTTACCAGATCTGTAAGTTAAAGTTTTTCTTCTGTAACATTTAATACTTTTAAACTTAAGTTAAAATTGAGTATTTTTTGTTCTTTTGGTTTGAAGCGATTAAAAAGTTAATTAAAAAATATTTTGCCTAATTAAAAATTACTTTTATTATTTTAGTTTTCTGAAGGCTGGAGACAAATTTTAAAAGAATGCAATACCATCCCAGAGGAGCTGCAGGGAATGCAACGCAGTGGAATCTATGTGGACTGCACTATTATTTGTCATGACAAAAAGGTAAATTATAATTTTTTTATTATTCTCTTTTTATCCGACACTTATTTTTAGGAAATAAAATGCCACAAATTGGTTCTTGCCAGAATCAGCCCAGTATTGGAGCAAAAGCTTTATTCGTCTGATTGTATTGAGCTGCGTTTTACACACAAGATTTGCAACTTTTTTGTGGAGTAAGTTTTATTCCTTGATTGAATAATCTTTTTATTTACATTTTTTTATTGATGTAGTTTTGCGTATATTGGAGTTGCAGACAATACTACTTTTGACGAAGCAATTGTATTGTATAAACTCGGGAAACAGGTGGGCTGTGAGGCACTTAAGAAGAATTGTCTCAGTAAATATGAAAGTTTACTCACCATAGAGAACGCATTCAGCAGCTACTGTTATCTTGATGCTGACCAAGATGATGATTTTGTCCTTCTGTGCTTAGAGGTGAATTAATTTTTTTTAGAGAAATCTAATATTTTTTGTTGTTTATTTCAGTTCATCAAAACAAATGCTGACAGATTGCTTAAAAAATATCCATTTGTTTACATTTCAAATGACGAGAGCGTGAATCTGCTGTCTAAAAGCCAAGTTCGGCGGATCCTCAGTGAAGAAAATATGAACATTTCAAGTGAACTGTGCCTTCTGAAAGCTTTGGAGGTTTGGGCTGAGCACTCTGTAGCAGAAGCAGGAAATCCTAAAAGCCATGAAACCATCCGAGCGGAGGTTGAGTCGCTGCTACCAAAAATACGCATTCTTATGCTGAGCAATCAAGACTTATCAGAATTCCTCTCCAACACAAGGATGTTTGATCAGGCTGAAATTGCGGCAATTGTGTATGCTCATATTCATAAGGTAAAATCGTATTTTTTTTTTTATGTGTTACAAAAGTGGGAAAAATTAAATTAATAGGATACCACTCAACTTCCTCGCTGTGTGAGCAAAATTCGCTGTCCGCGTGATCCTATTCAAAGACCAATATTTAGACGAGCATCCTCTTTGGAATCAAACAAAGGAAATGTGCAGGTAAAAATGAAAATGAAATTTTAAAAATACCACACTTAATTTTGATAGTGTAATTTTGTTACTATTGATCTTTGACAATCTTTGATAAGCTTAGTATTGAAATTGATTTTTTTTTCTTATTTAAAGTATTTTTTAATTTCTCATCGTTTTATGTATTAATTGATCTTTTTGAATATATCTTAAAATTTAATGAGACAAAATTAGAAGATCGCAATAAAATTAGTAATAATTTATCATTTTTAAGGCTGCTCACGTAGTTCAGCAGACTTTACAATCACCCACCATAACAGCAGACACCACCTGGCTGTCACCACCAACTGACCTTCGGCAAAGTTCTTCAAGCAGCCGACCTTCTGATCATGAGCCTCCTCTCACAAAAAGGCCAAAGTTACACTCTGAGAGTTCAGAGCCCAAGAGTAGACCTTCAGAAAAAATGGTGATAATTCAGGAGGACCCCAAAGCCTTTGAACAGAGTAAAAAAGTATGGTTTTATGAATATGCCACAAAATATTGACGAACTCAATAATTTATTTTTCATAAGGCTTCTTTGCAATCCCAGCATTCAGATCCAGGTTCAATGTTGATGGTGCACCGAGAACTTGCTGATTGTGCTTTATACGTCATAGATGCAAACAACCCTCATTTTACCAAGGTTTAATTATTGTGAAACCCACTTTTGTTTGGCTAATTATTAGGAATCTTTTATTAGATAATACCCTGTCACCGTGCAATTATAGCCAGGTTTGGAGGCTTCCTGAAAAGCAAAGTGTCCGGGGCTAAATATGGAATGTACGAACGTGCATCACCAGATCTCCCAAGTTTGCCTCTCTATGAAATCATCAGCATTCCAATTTCAATATTTGAAGTTATTCTAAAGTAAGTTTGTGTGTCTGGGTAAAAAGAATTTCTTCAGTTAATTGTTTCTTCTGCAGCTTCTTGTATGACGGCAAGTTGAAGTGGACAAATGAAAAAGATATCCTCAATATCGTTAGCTTTGCAAGGTTCCTTTCTATCACTCCTTTGATGAAGAGATGCGCCGAATATTTAACTCAGATGAAGCCAAGTCCTTCAAAGATATGGGCAGCTCTTATGCTGAGCCAGGAGTTGAATGACAAATATTTGGAGAAACAATGCTTTGAGGTTAGACAATTTGTTTGAAATATAATAGATTTGTTAAAGACATCTCTTAAATTCTAGGTTATAAAAGAAAAGCCTCAGGAATGTTTCGATGGACCTCTGGAAGATATCAAAAAGTGCCCTGTTGAGCTAATTGAAAAGATCAGCGCTTTGAAAACTATCAATGTAGAATCTGAAGTGGATATCATAGTCTTTCTTGAGAAATGGGCCATGGCAAATATAGATCCAGCTTCAAATCAAGCGATTGTTCAACAATTAGTCCAAGAATTGCTTGCACGTTCCATCAGGAATGTACGATTTTTGTCCCTTGACTTGGAACGCTTCAAGGAAATCTCAAAAACACACCTTCTCAGTGAAAATGATCAGAAAGCAGTGTTTGCAGTGCTCAGTGGAAGTTTTGGTGGCAAGCACAAATGTACTCTTTCACAAAAAATTAACACTTGCAAAACACCGCGCTTCAAGACCTACCATTATGGCAATAAAAAGTATTGAAAATTTTTAACAAAACTACATGGTTGGAATGAAAACTAATTTTTGATTGTAATTTACAGATTTACTTCATTCATTATGAGAAAAGAAGACAAAATGGCAAGACTTGTGGTTGACAAAACTGGATCTAGATCTGCATCCATCTCTATTGAAGCAGAAAAAACATTTGTGCTACATGGTTTCACTTTGCACGCTCAGTATTCCTCCGCCTCCAGTTCATATTATAATGAGGATATTATTGTGACAGTTTGGAGTTTGGATTATGCTCAAAAAGAATACGCAATGAAGAGATATTACTTGCTTAAGTATGATCCTGAAGTGAAGTACGGTGGTGATATCAAAATTGTGCTGGCTAGACCAATGATAGTGCAACCCAGAGAAAACAGGTGCTGGGTTATAAAAGTGCAATTAAATGTTAAAGGTGCCTATGAATTTCCTTGTTTGAAATCGGTTGGCACAAAATCCGTACAAATGATACCCTTTATGGACAATCTTTACAAAGTGCGTGACGTTGATGACTGTTGGGGTAATTCAGGGATTTTTAAATCTATTGAGTTGTCAAAGGAGGCCAAGCCTCTTTAAAATCATAGTTCAGCAATTTAACAACTAGCTGACTACTTTCTGACCTCTTTTTTACTGGGTATCGTACAAATTTTGAAGCACAAAATTTTCATTTTAAGGGAAAATTGTATTAGTTTCAAAATTGCTAAAGATTTTTTTTTTTTTAAATTTTGGATTGCACGTTTTTATTGATTATGAGGAAACTACAAACCATTTTGACGTATTATCACTGCTATGACTGCTCTATATATATGGTGCATTTACATCTTTCACGTACAATGTACAATTAGATATTTGTTATTTTGTTGAACTATATTAAATTTAAAGCAATAAAATAGCTAATATCTGGATAAATATTACAAATTGGAAATAAGCAATAACTTTATAAGAGGAGCAAAATGTCATTGTTTTCTTTTTTTTATTAATAATACATTATATAGAGTGAGTGTTAACAAAACTATTAAGAAATGTATCAGTCAATAACTTGCTACAACGAACTTCCTCATTTTTTACTTTTTTTTTAAGTGATGTTATAAACATAACATGAAATCACGAATTGTAAAAATAATTTCATCAAAGCAAAATTGAGATTATTAATAAATATACAATTCTAATTTGAAAATATTTTTTATTTAATTATAAAGCATTGTAAATTTGTTTCTATTAGAACCTCTAGAAGCGCTCAAGACATTATTTTCTTCTGAAGGAGCTGCGGTTGTTTATAATGTGGTGATTTGCAACCAATAAAAAATACATTGGTTTCATATATACGACTTCAGCTATTTTATTAGTAGTAGCAATATTTAGAAGTACAGTAACAGAGCTGTATCTATACCAGTGGCAATTTAATCTGATTTAAATAAATACAATGCCACTCAAAAAACAACTGCATTATTATGTGAATGGGAAAGACTTCCTTTTTAAAATCAACATACATTCACTATGTTGCATCAAATTGAAAATTCTCAAAAGAAACCTCGAAGTTCTAAAATTCTATTTTAATAATTGAAAATAAAATTTAAAAACAGGAATACAACAAATTTAATAACATGTGGCTAATGATTCTTAATATGTGCGCCGCTACTATTTATTTTACAACAAACATATTACGGCAGTGCTATTTTGCTGATTCGTCCAAAGTCCTGCAGGTTACTTTAAATAGGCGATCCACTTTTTGGCACACATCAGCACTTGAAATACACATTACAATCACTCAGAACACCGTACAAAAATTGAGCATCTCCATATGAGATTGAATATATTTTTGTTTATTTTTGAAGACGTTAAATAACAAAAGATTTTTTTTTCAAAATATATAGCAGCACAACTATACTGACAAATGAGCAGCAACATCTTGGCAGCATCCAACAGATTGGCGTCGTTCTAGATTGAAACATTAGTTACAGCCAGTCCGAGGTTCATTGATTATTATACCCTAATTCAAATATGTTGGGTCAAGAGTTTTGAGAAGCTGGCTTTCGAGATCAAAAAATTACAATTTGAGCTGAACTAAATAGCTAAAGGCTACATCAGTGCATTATAATGGTTTGCTTTACTACAGGAAATTTAATGAGTTGTATAATTAACACTAAAGAAAAGAAAAATTTTCTTTAAAAGTTTTCAAATAAATTGGTAAAGCAAAATTTATTAGTTATTCTACAATAAATCCTGAATGGTCCCTACAAACATGAGCAAGTTAACATAAATGAACTGGGCATTGAAAAACCTTGGTGCTGCAAGATATCATGGGAAAACACGTAGGCAACTATTTTGACACAACTAAATCACACCTTGTTAATTTTTACATTGGATTGCTTAAAAAATTTGTTGTGAGTGCCGCTATGCACAACCTTGATGTACATCTAAAAGCACAACTGGCAAAATCTGACACTTTGGCCTTTAAATCTCCAGCCCAAGCGACTTGATGAAACCCCTGAAATCCTCCATGCATGGGTTCTCGAGGATGGCTGCCTTTTCCATCACTGCACATGAATCCGAGTCAAGCACAGGGGCAGTCACAGAGTCAAACATCACGTTTTCTGGAATCTTGTATTGCTTGAGGAATTCAGGGCTCAACTCAAGCTGCTCGCCAGCCTTACTGTCCAGCCTGTAGTCCAGGTAAACTTTGCCGTCTTGCCAGACAAGCCTGAAGGAATTTTCCTCCAAAGGCAACTCATCCAGCTGCTCAAAAAAATCATCTTCGGTGGTTGAAGTGCAGGCAGAATTTTTCCTCGAGGAATCGCCCAAGGGGGTTCCAATGATTTTCTTCTTTCTGGGCAAAAGTGGTCTCCCTTTCAGCTGTGGCACTTCCTTCACAACCGTTGCTTTCTGACGAGCCTTCTCCAGCTTTTCGGCAGCTCGTTTATTTTTCCTCTCTTGTTTGCGATTTTTCTTCACAGGCTTTTTGGGGGCTGGTTTAGTTTGAGCAGGCGGTGGGGTGCTTGGACCTCTAGGCTGTGGTGGAGGAGGAGGTGTTTCGATGCGCCGCATAACCTGGGAAAATTTTTTTTATAAAGACTTCAATTTTATGCTTTGTAATTTTTTTCTAATTTAAATGTTATCTAAAATTGAAATAAAGAAAAGGGAAAAATGAATAAATGACACTAACCGAGTCAAATTCATCCTCCGACTCACTGCAACTCTCATCCTCCGAGTCGGATGGCAGAGAAATTTCCTTGGCCACTTTGCTGTGACTGCAGATGCTGCCATCCGGGTGAACATTCCGGCAAGTGTGTCCCTTCACAGCAACAGCAGCAGTCTTCAGTTTGCGATCGGCTGCAATGCTGGCTCGTACCTGATCAGCTAACTTGTATGTTTCCACCAAATGCTTGAAATGGCCCAGAGTTACAGCGTTGCTTCGCATGTTCTGGTGATTTCTGGCAGCTGAAATTTTTGCCTGCTCCCGCAGAAGTTTCTTCCTCTGACGGCAGTATGTGCTTAGAATTGGCAGCTGCAGCTTCTTGCGCCTGTCCATCAGGGTATTGTGGTACCAATATATTATTTTGCTCACAAATTCCCTGAAAAATATAATCGTAAATGTTACTGAATCCTTTTTTAATCCAATATTCTTAAGAAATTAAACCTTATTTTACCTGAAAAACGAGTGCTTATTGAAAGCACACTCAGGGTCCGTGACCTTGCGATTGTTTTGCCTGTCAATTTGGTAGACAGTGGTGATGAGGTAAATACTCAAGTGCACGAGCGTCACTACTTGGTACTGGCACATGAAGATATTCAATCGGCGTGCTGTCTCAGGAGTGGTGATTTTCTCCACAAAGTCAAACAACGAGTCACCCATTGGCTCAAAATCACCAGCCAGTTCACCAAGGAGCCGACACATGATGAGGTTGTGGATGGTGGAGCCGTACTTGCCTAGCTGAGATGCTACTTCATCGTCGTTTTCAGTGCAAAGCAAGAGCAGCCGCATTAGTTCCTCAAAGTTTTCATCCGTGGCCGACGGAACATGCTGAGTAAATGTGAAGTACTTGTAGTACTCTTCCAGAAAGCTGCAGTCGGAGGCTTTGAGATGACGAAAGCGACGACGACTTCTTTGCCTAATTAGCTTTCGGCCTTTGCTTTTCACTCGGCACCTGACTTTGTATGAGGGCTGTTTCTTGACTTCTCGATGGCCATTCGCGATTGTAATTTGTGGTGAAACCGATTTTTGGTGAAGTGTGTGGCTCACAAATGACCTTTAACAGGCAAAATTTGTTTAAAAATTATTGTCCTTTGTCTAATTTGCATGCAAATTAACACAGTACGAGATTTGTAAAAAAAAATTGAAGCCAATTTTACTCAGTTGTTAAAAATCAAAATTTTGTTTCTTACTTAACTTAAATAAAATTTAGAGCAGAAAAACCTCATTTTATTTCATTAAAGATCTTATTGTACTGGTGAATTTTACAGTTTTACACATTTGCTGTGTCACTTATTAAAAGTGACTCAAAAGAATAAAATTGGATTTATTCAAAGATGATAATTTAATTAAATTGTTTCAAATTAACAGTCTACTCTTACTCTTTGAGCTGTTCAACGACTCCTAAGAGATTTTGAAACCAGACCACACTTCGAATTTGGTCTTCTTTCAGCATCTGAATAATTTCATCAAAGTGAGTTTCTTTTACTGGATTGGCTGAAATGATAGAGTTTATGACATAATATTCTTGCTAAAAATAAAAATTTTTATTCCTACTTTGGTGGTCCCTTTTTCTGCGATGCTTAGTTTCAGGATACGATCGTTTTGTGCAATTGCAGCTGGGATTTATCACATCAGACTCTTGGGTTTCGTCTGAAACAATTGAAAAGATTAATTTTATGTCACAAATGATTTGATTTATTTTTACTTGAATTCAGGCTTGATTGATTGCAGTTTGAATCACTTTTGTTTGGCGTCTTTTTCTTGCTGCCTTTTGGTGAAGCCCCGCAATCAGTATCTAATTTTGATTTTGTATCACGTTCATCCTGAAATAATTATCAGATTATTTTCTGTTAGAGAATATTTGCGTATAACATCATGAGTATCCAGACCTTGTCTTTGGAGAGGTCTATTTGGGTGTCTGCAGCATACTTTGATGAAGAATCAGCAGCATTCGTTGCGACTAGGGGACCAGACAAATCACTATCACCTTCGTAATCAATTTCAATCAGCCTCTTTGCAATCATGTTGACGAGCTGTTTGCTTTTTCTTTTGTGCTGTTCCGGCGGATGCTGCGACAAAGACGAGACAAAAGCCTCAAACGCAATCTCTTGATCCTCCCTAAGACTATTTTCTTCCAGCATCATGGTCAGCAGCTCCATGAAGTGAGGATCATCAGCCGAAATCTCGTCGAGGAAGAGGTCTGAAGAACTTTCTGGTGTCGAGACGGCCGTAAACTGGTAAAACTCGGGTTTATTTGGGCAGCTGAACTGGAAATCTGGACCCTTGGCCGTAGAGTTGCTGGTGCCGTTGTGGCCGTTGACCGCTCCGTTCTTCTTTTTCTTCGACTTCTTACCGCAGTTTTGCACCTTTGGAAAGGGTGCAGACAGCAGAGGGCCGTGGATGGAGCTCATTTCGTTTGGTATGGATGTGCTCATCGCCTAGAATTTTAATTTAAATTGCAAAAATTCTTCCTAAGGTGGTGTCGTATGCACAAGTGCAAGGTGTGCTCGCATTCAACCGCCTCAAGAGCAAAGAATTTCGCTCTTTTTGGTGCACCTTTAAATTTAAATAAAAACTTACATTGTTGGGGATTTAACTGTTGCCTCAAATTACAAAGAAGATGCTTATTTCATATTCAATATCGCCGAAAATTCAGTCAATAAAGACACATTGTTTACACACACTTACACACCTCTTCTGCTCGCATCCATCGGCCTTCGACAGACGTCAGGAGTACCAACATTAGAAAGTAGCCCGCGAGGAATAACATTTAATTCTCGTTTAGTTTTTTTAGACTATTTATCCTATTTTCCTGCCTTTTTATTATATTTAATGCATAGAAACAAAACATTAAAAAAATACTTATCATGTATCAAATTTATAAAATTCAGGCTAAAAATGTATGCAGATTCAGAACATTTGCTGGATGGATTAAATGGATTTAATTATTTAATAGGTAGATATTATTTATTAAATTGTATTGAATTTTTAAATCTAGTTTAGATAATTTGCTGCGCAATTATTTAAACCCGGTTAAAATTTATATTTTAAAAAATGTTTCTAAAAAAGAAGTATGTAAGAGATCTGAAATATAATGTAACTAATATAACTATAATCTGATAATAATTTAGAACAAATAATATTTTACATTGGAGGAAAATCTCGTAATAGATCAATGACGATATGAAGAGCTATTTGAAATAACATCCTGATTTATTTATTTCAGAAATGTGATATAAACAAGAAATTGAAATCAGTAAAATGCTTTTTCACATAATATGCAATTAAAAAATTATAAAGCAATACTATCACCATTTAAATGTGTATATTTACATGCAGGCAGGCTCCTTCTTTTTCAAATACAAGTATTGAGTCTCTATAGTGTTTCAATTTAAATTTATTGTGCGAAATTCGAATTTGATGTGCTCAGAAGCTAATCATCTGATATGGACGTCCAAAAATTAACATAACACTATTTTACATAAGCATTGTGATATCTCTGAAATAACAATGTTATTTTAAGTTAGAAAATATTGAAAACATCTTCAGCGCAAAGAAGAAGAAAATTTATGGGACGCATATAATTATATAATTACATTACAGCTATTCTCAACTGAATATATTAAAAATAAAATTACTCCTGTGTAGATGATACCGACGCCTATTTATGAAAATATTACAATTTCAGAAATTGAGGTTCATATAATATGGACAGAATTTGCTATTTTTTTTATATAATTTGGGATGCAGAAATAAAAATATGAGTACAAATTAGCGTAATCGAAGAAAAATGCGCTGACTTGACAACTGCTGCGCGTGTGGTGCATGTTATTGCGATGAACAGCAGGATGACATTTTGAAGCCAGACTCTTCTTGGGTCGTGGCCTCAACGTGGATTGGTTTCATGTCGTGCGGATTGCGTCCTCTCCTGTCCATCCCAGAGTCAACCTGCCTCATGGACACAATCCGGAAGATCTCTGTGAAGGGGAAAAGGATATAATGAAATTAAGTACTTTTAAGTGAAACAAAAATTCAAACAAACAAAAATGGTACAATGCGCAAAAGAAATCAGAGAATAATAATCGACTGATGTCACAATCAAATTTTCACATTCCACAAACCATAATAAACATAACACTTCCAAACGCTACAAAATAAATCGCCCAGATAGAAATGCCCCAGCTGGTTACTTTAAATAAAAAGTCGATTATAATCCACGAATGCCATGCAAACTGAGACTGACTAGCAAATCAAACATCTACTTGAGAGCTGCACCTGAGCTTTGTCACTAAGTTTGGCAGCATTGCCTGCGGCTGCCCTCATTATTGACTGTAGGCTTCACGTCAATTGTTTCGACATTGTGCGGACGGATCGTATCTCCATCTGGCTGCTCCCTAATCTGCTTCTGGGACACAATCCTGAAGATCTCTACACCCCCAAGAAAAATGCAGATTTATTACTACGAATTAACCCCTTTTGCAAAAGACTCTAAATTCCTAGCAAACTCCCGTCCTCAACTTTTATTAAAACTATTATGGAATGTACCCTAGAAAATAAAAATATAATACGGACCTGTAAGAATGTTTTGGAACGCGGTTTCGACATTGGTGGAATCCAAGGCTGAAGTTTCGATGAAGGAGAGGCCGTTCTTTTCTGCAAACGCCCTAGCCTCGTCAGTAGGCACGGCTCGTAGGTGTCGCAAGTCTGATTTGTTTCCAACCAGCATGATGACAATGTTCTGGTCAGCATGGTCCCTCAGTTCTCTCAGCCATCTCTCCACGTTTTCGTAAGTAAGGTGCTTAGCAATGTCGTAAACTAGCAGGGCACCGACGGCTCCTCTGTAATATGCAGAAGTGATGGCCCGATACCTCTCCTGGCCAGCTGTGTCCCAAATCTGGGCTTTTATTGTCTTTCCATCAACCTGCAGTTTATAAAAAATTATAAAAATTAGACACATAAAGAGAAATCAGCCATCAAAAGACACATTTAGACGTTTAAAAATAGTTTAAAAAAATTTACTAGGCAAGAAAAATGCAACATTTGCGCCATATAAGGGCCTCATAAATCCGTTGCGCAAAATCCTTCACCCCTACCTGGATACTTTTCGTGGCGAATTCCACACCAATCGTTGATTTTGACGAAACATTGAATTCGTTTCTCGTAAATCTTGATAGTAGGTTACTTTTTCCCACGCCCGAGTCTCCGATTAGCACCACTGGAAGTAGTTTCCATATTAGGAAAATTCTTAAAGAAACGCCTTATGCAGGCTAAGATTTTTTACCTTTAAACAAGTAGTCGTATTCGTCGTCTCTGCTACTCATATTTCCACTGCAAATCGACGACAAAGTGATTAATAATCAATCGAAACAGACGAAAACATGAGTCATCGAACTGCGTTCAAAATTTGACAGCTCGATTTTAATAAGAAATTTTCATAAAAATCTTCTGATTATTCCAGAATTACGTTAAAAACAGTATAGAGAAGCTAAGAAAATACCAAAGAAAAGTCACAGCATCAACTGAAAGGGCTGGATCGACTGCAAAAAATTGCAAATATCTTGCGAAATAAGAAGTCAAACGTCACCGGTGATCAACACCCCCAGCTGCACTGAAAAAAACAAATGACGAGAGAAAGGCGCATGTCGGCCATCATTGAAATGAAAACGTAAACAAAAAGGAAAAAAATACAAAAGCTCCCATAGGCCTAGCTATTTTCTACTCTTTTTTAACTCGAAATACATCAATTTATTATCATATATGTATGTGAGAAGAATTTGAAACAATTTAAAATTTAAATTGTGTTAATTAAATGTAAAATTTTCTAAATTTTAGAAAATCAGTAAATTGTCAACATGAGAGAACTGACGGAAGCTCGCAACATGCTGGTCTTCAATGTGAAGCACGGAAACATTCAAGGCTCTCTTGATGTGGCAAAGGCGACAGCCGATTTCGTCAGCTTGATAGCGTCCAGCAACGGCTGGACAGTTGCCTCCGAACTTCTGCGTCTTGTGAATGAAGAGGGCAATAAATTAATTGCTGCGTTACCTCTGCATGTGACCGTGGCAAATGTGCTGCTCCAGCTGTTGCACATTATCAGGGTAGAGTACCTGTCGGCGGTGAACAAATCGACACAGGCCGTGCAGAGATTTGTAGAGAGCTGCATGAATTATGAGGAAAAATTCTCAGCTAAGTGTGAGGGCTTGAAAGAGGCAATTTTGGACCACATTGGTGAATACCAGACCGATCTTGAGTTAGCTGTCGACAACATAACGGAACAGGCCATCCATCAAATTCAACCTGGTGATGTCATTATGACCATCGGGAGGTCTTCCATTGTGGAGGCGTTTTTGCTAGCAAAGGCAAGAGAAAAGAACTCGGATTTTGAGGTTGTCGTAGCTGAAGGAGCTCCCCAATGTGAAGTAAAAAACATTTAATAAAATTATTGGCAAATTGTTTAATTTTTAATATTTCAGGGCCAAAAAATGGCAGAATCTTTGGCTAAGAAAGGAGTGCCCACGACGCTAATCCCAGATACAAATATTTTTGCCTTCATGCCCAGAGTTACGAAAGTCATACTGGGCACCAATCTTGTACTACGAAGTGGAGGTCTCCGAGCATTGCCAGGCGCCCAAATTGTTTGTCTTGTTGCACACGATCACAAAGTTCCGGTCATTGTGGTAGCCCCTACATATAAGTTCAGCCGTATGCTGAGCGAAAATCATTTGGCGGATAATGAAACTTTCAACCTTCTTGCCAGCCCCGAAGGGGTTGTCAGTTTCAAAGATGGCTTTGTTGCCTCAAAAGTTAAAGTGCTAAACCCTATGTATGATTTTGTGCCTCCGAATTATGTTAGCCAAGTTGTGTCTAATCTAGGCACATACGGCGTTTCACAGATGTTCACAGCCATTAGCGAACTTTACGGAACAGGAGAAGAAAGTGCTGAAGACTTAAGGCTGTGATGTAACTTTTGTATCTGGCAAAATAAATTATTACTCAAAATAATATAAACTACTCTGGACATTATTTGCTTTTTAACAGGCAAGAAAGTATTTTTTTATGGATTAAAATGACCTTACAAGTAGTGATGCTCTTAAAATATTTTAATCTTAGCAAAAATAAATTATAAAATTCACTTTTTGAGGAAACAAATTCAAAGGAATGCACCCCAACCTGGATACATTTGGCACAAATTTTTGATATCAGTTGCTTGGTTGATAATGGCTTTTGCGTGACCTTCAGGAGACAAAATCATTCCATCTGCTACATCTTTTAATTTATCATTTAAAATCCCAGCAAGTCTCATCTGCACCCTCCTCAAGGATTTGTCAACCTAGTAATAAGCAGTGTGTGAAATGCGTAGTTTTTTTTTGTCCCGACTTACAGATGTGTTGATGAACTCTTGTTTGTTGCTATTTTCACCAAGCCTGTCTTTAATGGTGGCATCAAACTTGATTGGGCTCAGAACACCAAAAAGAGTTTCTGCATTGTTTCTCATGACTGCAACAGTCAATTCGACAGCTTTCCTGTACGGCCCTTCCATTCCAGCAACGCCCATAGCCTTGATCATGTTATGCGTCAGTCGAAATGGCACTTTTTCTGGCCAAGGCAGTGTTTCTCCCTTGATGCAAGATATGTTATTTTTGCAAACAGTTTTAACAATCGATTTACCTTGTTGAATAAACAGTTGTAATCAACGTGAATGGATTCACCAGTCAAATTATTCAACATGATGTTGCCTCCGTGTCTGTCTCCCAGTCCGAGAATGTAGCCAACCACGGACATAACTGCTGTGGAGTAGATGAACTTCTTTCTAGCTTCATTCCTTAATTATAAAATAAATTTGATGTAGTTTTCCTTTTACATTTTAAATTGTTAAATAATACCATGCAGAGTGGTCAGGGAACTTCCAATTGAACCAGTCACTCAAGACGGATGGATGGGCAGGAATCAAACATTTCTCAAAAATCCTACACTTTGTTTCAATATTGTCCCCCTTCTCTGTCAGAAAAATTTGATAAACTGCAATGCAAGAGTGAAATTTCTGTATTTACTAATTTCTTCCTTAGTCTCATTCTTCTCTCCTTTCCCTTTGTACAAGTCCATGATCACTTGTCGCATTGTTATTAAATTAGGAATAAACTCAATCAGCCCGCAGTCTTCACCAAGTGGTACCACGCTCTGAAATTTTTAAATAGAATATAATCCATAATCTACCATAATCTTGAAAAATTATTAAAAATTACATATGTTTTGCAGCTAAGTCTTCTCTCTTTGCATTCAGTGTTCTGGTCTAGCAGGGCATTCAAAGCCTGCATAAAGTGCATCACAGTGGAGTCAATTCTTAGGTCATCCTAAAAAATGCTTCATTTGTAACACTAACTAAAATTTTTAGAAGATTCGCTACTTTGTTCTTCACAAGCCAGGAATATTCCTTATCGTCTGATCCCAACAGAGAGAATTTCTTTGGTTTCTGTAGTGATGCAAAGACTTGCACTGGTTCCATTACCCTTGTAATATACACCGGTTCTCTGCAGGGGAAAATAAAATCAAAATTTGAATGACGTTGTTATAAGTTTTAACCTGGGAAAGGCGTTGTGCGTCTTGAAGTTGACCGAGTCATCTGGCAGCACTACGCTAATGAGATCTTCAGTAGGCATCAAGATTCTTGATCCCTGCGACCTTTTAAAAAATTCTACAAGCTTGGGAGCAATATTTGTCATCAAAACTTTTGAGCTCTGCGTCTATAAGAATTTTTATATTTATATTTGAAGATACACTCTGTGATTATTTTTTCTAAAAAATTATACCTTGATTTGAAAGTGACCTAAGTCATAAAGGAAGCTGTTGAAGACCACATAGGCTTCCATTAGCCTGTTCATATCACCATTCTTTGCCCCGAATTTAATTAGCACTTCTTGGACTCTGTTCACTCGAATGACGTGGGACACCTATATTAATACAGAAGCAACTCTTTTCAAATGAGAGAAATTATAAAAAAATTATGTGTCACTTTGATCATGGGGACCAACTTCCACAGAGTCTGATATGGATGTGCTTGCAAGAGATCCACAAAGATTTCTTGGATGAAAGTATATACGCGACGGTATGAGCTGCAGAGCCTTGCACTCAAGTTGTTGAAACAGGCATAGAAAGCATACGGTGGGAGATTTTTTCTCAAGTCCTCTATAAAAAAGGAAACAAGTTTTTATTAAATGAATTTCATCATCAATTGTTCTCCTTACTCATATGTTCGTCAAAAAAGTTGAAAGCAGATGTGACCATTTTTCTCTCATTATCATTCTTTTCTGTGGATAAATCTTGCAGATCATTGAGAGAATCAGCCCAGATGGTAATGACTCTTGGGAGCGACTCATAGAGATATTTAACCCCATTCATCAATGCAAAAGTGTAGCATTTCACAATCTCTTTCAGACAAACACTGTTTCACAAATAATAGTCATAACCAATTAAGATTTTGTGGTAGAATGTCAAGATCCAAGATCAAGGATTGATTCATGGTGATTTGAATTTAAAGTCGACTTTTCCTCGATGGATTTTGTGAGTTGTTTATTGTTCAAGAAAAACAATATCCTGCTCTACTTGTTTCTGATGCGGGCCGCAGTCATAATTCATGAGCTTTCTCGCCGGTGGTTGAGAGAAGACTAAAAGCATGAATTATCAATTATGGCTGCAGCCCACAGCCGAAACATGTAGAGCAGGATATTGTTTTTTCTTAAACAATAAAAAACTCACAAAACCCATCAAGGAAAAGCTAACTTTAAATTCTAATCATCATCAATTAAGACAGTTAGTTGTAAGCTTTATCAAAAATAAATTACTAATAGTTTTTTCCTCTTCCCGAGGTTTTTTCTGTGCTCTTTTTTACGGTTTCATAAGCTCTGGCAAGGTGAACCCATGACTCCTCGGATTGGGGATAGCATTTTACAGCTTGTTTGTACAAAAAGATGGCTTGAACATCATCCACAATTTTCATTTTAGAGCTGTATTTGGCAATGAGCAGTTTTGCCTAAAAATAGCAAAGACAAAGTAATTTAAAATGCTAGTAATTTAAAGTACAGAATTTACCTCGGCACATATCCTCCTATCTTCAACTCTAGTTCCAGTAGGAATCTGTTCAAATTTTTCCCAATCAGGAAAGTATTTGTTAATCCCTCGATGCAGGTAAATTAAGGCAAGCTCTTTGCTTCCTTTTTCCCACTCCAACTGAGCTTGAAGTACAAAGGTTTCCTTGAGACCACATTGTTCACTGCTGATCAGATAGCCCAAGGCTTGCGGGAACTGCCGATGGCTAATAATTTTTGTTTGATTAAAAATGAAAAAGATCATATCTATGAAGAACAAACTTAATCGAGATTTTTGCGCTTTCCATCCATAGACGTCCCAGTTCTTTTCTGATGAAAGAGCCTGTTTCACTAAATCCAGCCAGGACATGTTGAAGTAAAGACAGCAGCGTTCGTCTCACTGATAAAGCCATTTGGAGTCCTTTCCAAGCAAAACTGATCCTCTTTTGTCGAAACTCCATTGCATAAAACGCCTCCTTGATTTTTGCAACCTGTTCCTTCTCACTTAAACTTCCGATCTTTTCCGACGGTAGAAGGATTTTAATCATGATTTCCACATCAGTCAGCAAGTGCATTCTAAATTTGATATTAAAATCATAAAATTAGAATTTTTGAATTGATATTCAGCTTTAAAGCATACAGGAGAAAAGCTGGATAGTTTGTTGCGTATGGGCTGCTGATGGGTCCACACTTGTTCAACCAATTGCCAAGATCCTCTCTCATCATGTAGATACTTCTTCTGGAATCCTCATAATCACCTCTAAAGATGCTGTCAAGGATTTTAGCAAAGTGATACGCCCAAGTAAAATCAGAGTTTTTAGTATCGCTCAAAGTTTTGTTCAGATCCTCCCAAGCAGCCATACGCCAGTGAGATTCTAGTTTGCTTGCCAACAGTGCCCCATTAAACTTCGGACTTCAAAGTGAAAAATTTGTAATTAATTATTATTTAAATATATTTATAAACTAAAAATTACCTATTTGTCTCATCAAAGTGCTTCTCAAAAATCCCAATTACTGGCTGGTGCTGATCTAGTTGAAGGTACGTTTTTGTGACATAGCCCAAAATTTCTTGGACATCTCCCTCTTTGTTGCACATCATCTTTTCACACCAAATGATAGATTCCTGCAAAAGATAGAAGTGTGCTAGAGGATTGGTAATTTTTATGTCAGTACAATACCTGGAGCTCTCCATTCATTTCATACAAAAGCAATTGCTCAGACTTTCCAGTAGCTCTTTTCCTGATTGATGAAACTCCATGAACAAAGTCAATATTCTGCAGCTGGGAATGGATTCGCTGAAAATTTAAAAGGTATATAACATACTAAATATATTATACAAATAAAAACTACCAAAAATAGATTTAAGCAGCCCTCAACATTTTTCTCTCTATTTTTTTCCACACAAAAAATGTCCAGATACCGCAGAGCTCTGAAGTTTTCATTGCAAGAATGGTTCTGCTCAGCTGCTAATTTCAAATTAAAGCGGTCCATGAAATCTATTGAAAATAAAATTGATCATATAGGTATATAAATATAACATTCAATTGAAAATTACCTCTATTTTTTCTATACTTGTAGGCAAGAGGAGAGTTTCGCACATCTCTAGAAGATTCGCTGCATGTGGAAGCCATTGACCTTTTAGAGGGTGCTCCATTTAGAAGTGCTTGCTCGAATTCCAAATTCCAGCGTATAATGTAGTCTATCAAAGAAAATATTACTTTCGAGCATTTGAGATTCGTTTCCTTCTGTGCCGAATTTGATGCTTCCAAATGCAGCTCTACAGAGCTCTGCATCCCAACATTTTGTCTCAAGGCTTTGAAGACAATTTCAAATGACTCCTCTTCGGAAACTTGGCAGGAACTTTCATGCAAGTGGGCTGCTGTGACCATTTCCTCTACGATCAAATCAATTTCCTCGGGAGTTGCTGCCCAAACCGCATTGATGAAAATGTGGGGCAGGAAAAATGAGGCGTTTTTCAGATTGATGCGGAAGACCAATTTGAGCGCATCAAATGTGTCTTTAATGCTCTTGTTCTTGATGTAACCAATCAAGCGCGCCACCCAGTGGAGTATCCAGTCTTCAAATGCTTCCCCATATTGGGAACTAATAAGAGGGTGAGGGAGCTCATCAGCTTCAATGGTTATCTTGCTGATGTAATTTGACGTAAAAAATGGCATCAGCATAGTTTTTGATTGTTCACTGAAGAGATTCCAAATTTGTACAGGAGCCTTGGCTGGTTCGTTTTGAAAGTGGTTGGCTTTCATGAATTCTTGACAAACATATCCAATTATGTCCATGTCTTCTTTCTTTGTACTTGACTGAAATCCATCAAGCAGGGTTTCCAATGCTCGGCAAACAAATTCAGCACAAGACGAGTCCAGGAAAAATTTTGACCTATCCTTAAAACCATAGGCAACAATCCAGTGGCTAGGGTCGATGGCTCCTAATTCGCTTAGGCACTCAATGCTTGGGACTCGTAGAGACGGATTTGGGGAAGATGCCCCACTGACTAACTTGCCAATTATTGCATTTAGGGATGAGTGAGAGTCCAAGTTGTGAGCAAAGAATAGCCTCTGAATTTCTGGCTGGATTGTGATGAAGTATTTCTAAAAAAGTAAAGTTGAAATTAGTGTGAGAACTTATAATATAACCTTACCTTGAGACATTTTAGGGCCAAAATTTGATTCTCAACATAATTATTAGAAATAGCATTAAGCTTGATCTCTAACATTTCGTCAGTTGACAATGATTTGGCACATTGCAGGCAGTCTTCTAAAAACTTGTTCAACCCAAATTCTTTTAGAAGATCTGTTAAGTTAAAAAGGTCTTCGCTGTTCGGTTTTACGTTCTTCCTGTTCTTCACCAGAAAGAAATCAACGATCAACTTTGCTTCAGTTTTGAACTTCTCGAGGTCAAGAAATGTCAAATTGGTCATTATAGTAAACATTACAGCACCAAGCTTGCTTTTCTCCAGGTGCTCAAGGAAGGTGAGAACTAAAGAGCAGTATGCCTTTACTAATTCTGGTTCTTTGAGGGTCTTGAATGTACAAATTACGTCGAGAATTTTGTTAAACACAGGTGAAATGGCCTCAGTGCTCACCAGTTTCAGCAAGTTCTTAAACCCAACAAGAGATCGTACCTTCAAATCAGTGCTGGCATATTTGCTCACGACATTGCTCTGGATGGTGACCAATATGCCCATCATATGGCTTTGCAGGTCTTGAGAAATCTCTTCGGGTGACAGGTCAGTTTTGTCATCACCACCTTTCAAAATACTTGTGAGCTTCTTGTAAATATCTTCAGAACTGGAGTGGAAGTTCAGTATCACTTGGATAATGATAAGGGTCAAGTAACGGCTAACTTCATCATCACATCCCGCCAACTTCAAGTAAAAGTCTAAGTAGTTATCAGGGTAGTTCACGACAAACATCGGATAGAGCATGGCATGAAATCTTGTGAGCATACTTTTGATACTTTTCTGAGGAACATTGAGGTACAAAGCAGTATCTTCCAGTGTGTCGAGAAAGGTTGTATCCTCATAGCACTTGGGAATCAAGACTCGCAAAAAGTGGAAGAGGTGCTTCCTCAGGGTCACGGACTTGAATCCAAAGATGTTGCAAATTCGCTCAAAGCAATAAATTATGTTCCTCTTGTTAGGGTCTTGAAAGGAGAGCGTTTCGATAACAGCAGACCAAATTTCATCCTGTGACTGAAAGAATGCAACCATTGGATCCATATGGTTGCTATTGAAGAATTCTACGACAACTTCTTGATTGAGGCCACATATATCATCCTTCTTCAGGGCAATCAACTTTAGTATCATCTTCATGACTGGCTTTACCGCAAAGTCACTCTGCATTTTAAGAATGGGGTCCATTGCTGCCAAGACAATATCCCACGACTTGCGCCCCCTCCAAGTATTTTCAATCAAATAATTTAACTCGTTTATGATGATCTTGAATGCCTCTTGTCTGTATTCTGTGTCATTTCTTAGGTTCAGAATTGATGGCAGATTACAAACAAAGTCATCCGAAATGCTTGCATCTTCATCTGAAAGAAGTTTGACCCAAAGTTGAACATCTGCAGTACTGAATGACGATCCCAAATGTTTAATTATTTGAGGAAATCCTTTAGCTATGGCTCTTCTTATAGCAGGGTTACTGTGGAGGATGACATTTTTCCAATCGGCACTGAAATTGTCGAGCAGATTCAAGAAATTCCAACCTTTGGGGCCTGCAAAGTTCCTGTTTAAAGAGCACTCCGAACAAGATATTTGAATGTCAATTGTACTGGATGCCTCATTCTCTTTGATGAATTCCTGGACTTCACAGCAGCCTGAGAGAGCGCAAACAATGCTTGGCAAGACTTCAGCAGCTAATGCAATGATTTTTTCGCTTTGATGGTTCAAAATCTTGCTGAAAACTTGATACAAGGGCTTGATGTCTGATCGGTGACAGGAAGAAATAATGACTGGTAGATTTGGCATGACAATTTCCAACTCTTCAGGATAAGTCATCAGGCAGTCTCGGACTACATTGACTCTCCACGCCGTTGGCTTTTTACTTGTTTTGTTCAATTCCTTGCCAAACACCTTTAAAGTGTCCACTGATAAGCTTTCAGGCATCTCTCCTGAAACAAAATCATTACTAAGGTTACAACATAGCAGAACAAAATTGCAATTTCATAATTTCTGAGCAAATACATTTAGGTTAATTAACCTTTGAGTTTTTTCTGCAGACTCTCAGCTAGGATTTGGTACCACTCAAGTTTGTTTGCAGGTATGTCAGCCTTGTCTTGTTTATTCAACCATGGTAAACCACACAGGATCTCAATGGAATTTAGCTCCGAGGCTTCCAACTTGGACGACTCAGGCAAAAGTCGAAGTGCATTCAACATCTCCAACACCTCTCTCCATAACTTGATAGACACGTTAACATTTTCCAGTGAGGGAGCTTTGCCCTTAGATGGGATCAACTCAATGCAGTGATTGGGCAAAATTCCCATTTGTGCCACAACTTTTTCATAACTGCCTGGGAAGAAAACGAAGCTCGGGGGAGTTTTAAATTCAGATGCCTTTTTCTGTTCAATTTCGATTCTGCATACAATCACTTGCAGTCCATTCATAATTAAATGGAGTTTTCCCACGTCAGCAACAATGCAGTCGTGCTTCTGGTCCTCTACTTGAGCAAGTCTTTCTAGCTTTTTTGTAAAAATTTGTGAAGCTATCTGCCAAACTTGGCTAACATCTCCTGCATTGATCCATACATTAATTGAGCTGAAATTAAAAAAAAAAGTTTAAAAAGCCATTTAATTAGGAAACTATGTATTAATTACTGTTTCACATGGGATTTGCTGTGGGGCACTGTTCCATGCTCTGTTTTATTTGGATGCACGCCAGCTAAGCAGCACCTCAATTCGTACTCCAGGAATGCCATCATCAGGGAGCCAGACACCTACAATGAATTAATTTAAAAATTGTACATTTATTAACCCTAAAATCCAAATTATACATTATTAGCGGTTCCACAGAAATTATGTGCCAGCCATTTGATCTCCAGGTCAGTCAACTTCACAACCCCTTTGCACATAAATTTGCAAAGAAGTTTCACCAATTTGCTTTGAGTACCTTTAAAGAAAATGGTTAAAAGTTTAACTTATTTGCTGAAAAATCTGAAAATTCATGACGAATAAAAGCTAATGATCAAACCATATGCTGCAAAATGTTATTATTTTCTTACCTTTACCATCATCATCACATTGATATTTCATCACAGCCGCTTTCAACTTTGTTGGGAATGGGAATTTAGCCATATCTTCTACAGAGAATTCCTGGGACAAGAACATTTGAGCAACCTGGTCTTGAAGCAACAGCAACTTTGAATTGCTAGCCTCCAATGGTTCCTTGGATACAATATCAGTACAGATTTCCACAAAACATGGAAGCATCTAGAAAAAGTAATGTGAGATATAAATTAATCAGAATTATTCTTTACTACGTCTAAATCCTTGCGAAATGGAAACGAAGCAAGAGCAAGAAATTTGTTTGAAATAAGATCATTGTAGTTGAACAGGTCCCAAGCTCCCAGCCTTTGTAAGTACAAGTCCAGTAGCTTAAGTCTGAGGGGAGACTGGAGAACCAATTCATATGAACTAAAAATCACCTGGAAAATGCCCTCAATTAAATTATTAAATTAATGGTATCCTCAATCTTGTACATCAGACAGGAAAGAAACGACAGGTTTTGCGCTTTCAATGCTTGCCAGTCTAACAAGCGATCTACATTCACCAGGGAAACGACTTGAGTTTGCAACACTATAGGTTCCAATTGAAATCGGTGGATAAAAACCAACGGGGTTCACATAGACATCTAGGATATCTAAAAGTATTGAAGATATTTTAGAAAGCTATATTAATTTTAAAATATTTTTTCCTAATACTTTTCAAGCTGGACATGTGTTTGTCCATCAGGTACAAGTACAAGTTGCTGCAATTCAAGTAGAGAGTTTTGAAGAGCTTCTCGTAGAAAGCTGAAATCCCAGGCACTTTTGTGTGGTCCAAGTCTTTTGTGAGCAAAATCATCAGGCAGTTGGAGAAAGCACTCAGAAAATCTAGAAGAAAATAACAATAAATAAACCTCAATAATTTTATGGTAGCTCCAGCATAGACCCAAAGTTGTACAAAATGAATTGAAAAAATAATAATTTTAATATACACACCTTGATAGGCATCCAATACTGCATTGGTAGGGTCTGGTACCATTTCAATCTCAGGACAGAAAATACTCCAAGCTTCTTCAAAGCGAGCAATGATGTGATTAAAGGACAACCGAAATTTTGATTTGATGAGCTTCGGACGATTGATGTAAGAGAGCAATATTTCAATGATGCTCATCCAGTCCTGGCAAATTTTCTCAAGTTGAGAAGACGATTGATGCGGTCCTCTAGCCATTCTGTAAAAATTCAAGCAAAATTAATAAGTATTATTCAAAATAATTACATAAATGTGATTACATAGATAAATCGAATGAGACGTTGTTTGATCCTTGGCAAATATTATGCAGTCTTGCAAGTTTAAGATGCAATTGACATAATGAAAATTAATTATATTATGTTCATAAATATTTAAAATTTAAGAATTAAATAATTTTATAATCCGTTATATTCGCTAAAACTGTCTAACACCCCATAAAAGTTTATCTCAAGCAATGACGAAATTTAACAAACCAAAATTCAGCTGGTTTTCCTCATAATCATAATGTAATACAGGTTTGTATGTTTTAGTGATCACAACCAATTTATTGAGGAATATTGCTGGATTTACCTCGATTTACAAACGAGCATTCAAACAAGAGATCGAGCTTGGATTATGAAACTTGCATTGAAGAAAAATATCAACCGGGCAGACGAATTTAAACTTTCAACGTCGATTTTTCTGCAGATTAAACAGAACGCGCTTGATTTTAGCAAATTTCACTAACCTGAGGCTTTGAAATTTCAATCGGTCACATTAAAAAGTCTGGTGCAGCGTCCTATGACTTGAAAAAGAGATGTTTTCCGACTAACTCAGTGCGGGCAAATCACTTCAAACGTCCATGTTTATCCGAACTGAACCAAACATGTGTTATTGGGGAGAGGTTGGCGCGCGAGCCTGTGATTGGTGCTTCCGTGAAGCCTCGGATTTCTATTGGTTGATCGGTCCCAGTGCTCAAAAGAGTGGCGCAGATTGCACGCTGTCATAAATTCATTGGAAATAATACTTTTTTTTATTTGTTCACATTGTTACAATGCATTGTTTACAAGCAATTGCCGAAAAATATATTTTTTGTTTGATAAAAGGAATTATTGGACAAAACAGTACCACCACTATAGCAAGAATTTAGCAAAACCTTCACACTTCCGAGATCAAAAAGACCCCATCAGCCGCAGTGAGCCTCGGTTGACCAATTGTAAGTTTTTTCCTTAAATAAATGGGATGGTACATTTTGTAATAAGAAAAAAAATAACTTACAAAATTTAATTATTATTTCAAATATTCAAGAAATTTTTTTAATCCAAAAGCAGTTATTTCGTTATTTGTTCTAAAAAAAATTATGTATTTAATTTGATTTGCTTTGCCCAAATATTTTTTATTTTATTATAATAACAAAATAAATAATATATAAACAACATTCTCTGTGATTCGGTAGAATCTTTCATGTTTCTTAGATTTGCATCAAGTCCTTAAACCATTCAGAAAGAGACTGCACTCTGCACTTTTCCGGTGCTGACAAAAAGTGATGCATTTTCCTCCAACCGGGTGTAATGCAAATCTGCAGCTTCCTCAGTCGCACTGAATAAAAATCTCTGTTAGTAGGAATACAAACAAAAACAGCGCTTAGGGCAAAAGGAGCTGGGAAAAAAGTTGTTGATGCAAAAGAAGGGAGAGCGCAGAACGCAGGCAGAGATATAATTTATTGAAATGTAAGTGAAAATAGAAACGCAATCCATCATGCTCATAAGAGAACGGCGGGCGAGCACGCATTTTTATATTATTTCATCTTCTTTTCTGTCTATGATGTTGTTATTGCGGAGAGAGATGATAAGGGGTAGCGCGCTACGCTGGGGATAATCCATCATTGGCTCGACCGACTCCACTAACACTTGACGAGCTCCTGACAGCCTCCCAACACAAGACATTAGAATATGAATGCGTGTGCCCGCTCAAGGAAGCGAAACCCACCCCTGAATGGCTTCCATGCTGACTTATATTTGTCCAAGCTGAAAAATCTGTAAAATTTAGAGATTGAATTCATGTATTTCTTAATACAAAAGTGGTTATATCACATTATTTTATGTATTGCAAAAAGGTGAAAATAAATTTTAAGACCCAATTTTACATGGATTACTGAAACTTACAGAACTACACTTTTGCATCAACGTATATACAATTGCCGTAACCATTTTAAAATGACTGCCAGTTTTTTTTAGCTCGAATATCGATACTTAAATATATATGTTGTATTAAAACTGGATTTTCAAAAGTTCTGTATTAAAATATTTACACGAAGTTTTTTTTTATCTCAATAGTTATTTATTCAATTCAGTAAAATTGCAAGATGTTGTACCAATTTGCTTCGAGTACATAGCTTAAAAAATATTTAAATATTTTTCTAACGTAAATACAGATTAAATAAGCAAACCAATAAAAACAAATTTCTTTCTAATATTTCCTTATACAAATAACTTTGCCTCATCATCATCAAATTTAATATTTCATATCAAAGCACCTTAAAATTGCCGTAACAATGGTTTAATTGATTGGGAAATTTAAATAATTAAATACGTTTCTGATTATAAAAAAAATCATATATGGAGTGTTTCTTAAGCTAGCTCAAATAATTATTTGGTAGTTTTCAATATTATTCATTAACTACAGGCTGCCTATGTAAGGCATTTTTTTAATAACAATTTATAGTTTTATTTTAATTTGTTTTTAATTTAATTCATTGCAACATTTATATCACTTTTTCTTATTTGCAATGACTTTCAAATTATTTTAATGAATTAAAAACATCACTGTACACGCAAATGATGGCTTAGGAAATGAAGAACTGAGGGCGCGAATAGGGGAGTATCATAGCGCATAGTGGCACACCGGAAATTAACATCCAAATAAAAAAACACACGCGCCCGCTCGCACAACTTGCATCTCACCTGATTGCGCGCATTATTAATTGTTGGCCAGCACGCAAGCCTTTCATTTATTTGAGGCTGCTTTGCAATTAATTTGAATTGCTTTTTAAGCGGCGATGCGCAGAATAAGTCGCGAGGCTGCTGCTGATTTATGGCGCGGCCTTTTGTGTGTATATGCCGCGCGAATAAGTAGTTATTTTATTTATGGGGACCTCTTCGGTGCAAAAGAGCAAAAAGCCGAGCCGCGCGCTCAAATGGCGCTGATAATGCCACCAACTCAACAGGTGGGAATTTGGACCACAAATCATAATTTGCTGCTGCTGCTGGTGCACAAGTCATACATTCTCGGCGGCGTGATAAATACACGCACGCAGCAGCCACCGTTGCGCTCCGGGCGCAACTTCACTTCAGGTGTTTTTACTCCGCTCGCGGCACCACGATTATTCATTTTCTGTTTTTATTCGTCGACGAGAGAGTCTCTTGGTCAACTGTCGCGAAAAAACCACGTACAGCTTACATAAATCCTACTTACGGGAAGTTCATTATCCGCAAGTGCATTAATGAAATGCGCATCTGCATGAGAGTGCAGCAATAAATTATATAGAATTCAAACTAACTACCTTAATGAAAATATGTCACATCTTTGTTGAAATTTTACGTATTTTATTATCAATAAGGCAGCTGTGAAAAAGCTATAATACCTGAAACAATTTCAAACTTCTCCCTCGGCATGGGTGATTCTTAAAAATGAAGTGAAAAATAGTCTTGGTCCTGATTGAAAAAAATTATAATTTATTCAAATAACAAACAACTCTAAGTAGTGTCTGAAAGATTCCCAAAATTTGTCTATTATTATTATTATTATTATTATTATTATTATTATTTTTTTTAAATAAATTTTCATCTCTGTTATTATTTTTATTATGAATATATAATTTAGATTAATTCTTGTTAAAAATTAATAAATTACAACATTAAATTACGCATTAGTTTAACTGATATCACAAAATCTATATTATAATTTTATACATGTCATATATTATTTTTTATTTATTGGTTCCATTGTTTCATGACGTTGAACGTTTACTTTTGCAATTATTATGCATCGCATAATTTGACATACAGTACAGAGAGGTGTCAATTGTCGCAATTAGAGTGGACATGGACACAGACATGAATTGTGACATGAATTGTCCTATACAGAGGAGAATGTACCGGACATGCTAATGAGCGTTTACATCAGAGAGGTGGTTTTTGGTCATTAATAAATATTATTGATGGGATCCGTTCGCGGGCGGCCAGACAAATTAATGACCAAAATGGGAAATTAAATCTGCTGAGTGACGAGCATTGGGGAATATTTTGCACTTTTGAAATATTGCGCCGGGACAGCTGCACTTATGAAAAGTCAACGAGCCGCGCGTTACCGAAGCCCAAAATTTGCTGACCCGCAGCGCCCTTCAAGACTGCTTATTTTGACTGGCAATTTATATCTGTAGAAGAACGCAATTTATCAAAAGTGCAGAGTACGCAGCAGAAATGCATGATATTAACACCGTGTATAATAATACAATTCGCCAATAACGTCAGAAAGGAAATGATTGCTAATATCACGCGCAAAAGAAAGTTTTATATAGTGTTGATGGAACGTTATAAATGTGCATGATTTATGTCTGCAATTATGCAAACACTCCATGCAATATTTCGCATAAATGCATCTAAGACTGAGACTGTCTATATATCTGCGCAAGAGCGCTTTCGAGAGATAATTGACTCCACATCTTAATTTATATGTGTGCTGTGTTGATTTATCACTTTATTTACTTCTGGCCTCTGATTCATGCTCGAGGCGTTCGGTCACTGAAAAGAACGAGAATATTTTTTCAATATTCTAAAGTCGTTTCATAAAGTAACCCAAGAAAAGGTAATATGGAAAGCACTTATTTATTTATAAATGAGTTATTTCATATACATAATCTTAAATTTTTGCTAGTTAAAAAATAAAGAAAAAATCAAATTTTGATCTGACGAACTCAAATTTATGATTTGATTTAATTTCGTAAGGTTCTTATAAGTCATCAGACTATTCTGTGTTTGAAAATATACTCATGTTAACGGATTTAATTTAGAATTTAGTGTAGTTTTTATAATACATATAATATTAATTCTATAATATACTAAATTATTTATAAATACAAATTTCCTATAAGTATGGAAGAAATATGTTGAATTTGGTGAAAACAGGCTGATGTTTTTAATCCTATAACAAAATATTGTTGCTTTTCCAATCAACGCGCGGAGTTCATTGCCTTCTTTGTTGAGTTGCGGATTCTGCACGAATGGAGCACATGTCTTATATTCTTGACCCTCTGACTAAACAGCCCGTCTTACGGAGCCAGTTCATTGCATAGGTCTAATCGCCGCAGGCTTGATTTGAAATATAAATCTCAAATGGCTGCTTAATTTAATTTATTTCTCTCTTAATTGCGTTGATTTTTTAATTTAATTTTATACCAGTAAAAGTTCAACTGAAAGGTATAATACTTGTCCTTATTAGTATAACTCACGGCAAATAAAAAAGCAAATTTAGAATGAAGTCATCAAAGTCAATTAGATTAAAACCAGTTGCAGGAACAATAAATTAATTCCAGTGGCCGAGCGATCGAGCACCACCAATGAGAGAGTGTGACCACTTTTTAATGCTCCTGTTCCAGATTTCGAACTTTTTACCCGCCGCTGCATGCATGCATGTCCATACAATGAGCCCTATACTGGCGGGAGCAATAAATAAAACCTTTTGTCCGAGCAATGTGCTCGAAACACATTACTACACAAGTGCCCTTTCGTCCGTTTGAGTTTTTCTGCATGCTAAATAGACACATTTCACAATACCATAAGGAGTCATGCATGGTGTGTGCTGCTGCTGCTGCCTCTGTGTTACATATACTTACTGGTTCGCCAGGCGTGCCTTGAATCCTCAATTAGCAGCAGCACCATCTAAAATGTCCTCAGCATACAAAATATTTATGCGGTGGGGCCACTTGAGCTCAATAATGAAAATTATCCGTCAACGTTTTCAGCTCTAATTAACTTATTTATTATTTCATCAGTGTTTTTGTAATTGTATCCAATTAAGATATAAATTTAAAAAAGCAAAATCAATAAGAAATAGTGTGTGTGACGTTGTTTTGAAAAAAGTGATCTCTCCAGACCGCTATTAGCGAATTTTCTCTCCCCAAATGCAGCAAGTGCATTGTTTTGAACATGCAAGACATCATTAATCTTGGCCTCTCTTTTGTGAGTATCAATGTCTGCGTGCGTTGAAAAAGAGAGCCGCAGAGAGAAAAACGACAGCGGCGGCGGTGAACACAGAGGCAGAGAGCATTTTACCGGCGGCGCTGATCTCCCTTTTTCTTCCCATATTCCTCTCCGACGCAAGTCTGCCCCCAAATCGAACAGAAGAGTTCCAAACCTCCATAAGCTTTTTCCAATCTCACTATTTTCATTATTAAAAGAATTTCAATTTTTGATAATATACCAGAAAAATTTTGTGTTAAATTAAAAAAGGAAACAAATTTCATTTATTATCTTTTCATATATTTTCCATTTTATCTTATTATCAACACAGAATTACATTTATAGAGACCTTACACAATGTAAATATTATTTGAGAAGATCGCTGCTGCTTCACCATAATTTAATACATTTTCTCATTTTTTCCTCTTTAATTTTAAATATACGATTCGCGGATTCGCATACTGTTTTACATAATAATGCAGTGAGTTTTTGTTTTTACGTTTTATACGCAACGCATTCCACTAGACAACAACGTAAAACACGCACATCAACGTCTCAGTTTGAATTTTTTTATACTTAATTACTTGCAGTGAAAACCATGGCACTCGCTTTGTCACTTTTTGAATTAGATGAATAACCTCAAATTGATTTTGTGAATTTCTCAATACAGGCTGCAGTTGGAATAGTCAGAAATTTTGTCCCTTTTATACTTCTTCAATAACTTTCTCAGAACTATGGTAAAAAATTTAAATAGTTCAAAGGGCTACTCGAGATTATATTTTTTTAATTAAGTTTAATGAATTTTATTTACCATTTTAAATCTGTGAATATAAATTATACGCAACTTCTTGCGTTATTCTGTAAGAATTTTGAATAAATATTCCATTTCTCAATACTCTTATATTAATCTGAACCTTTACTAGAAGAAATAAGTATTTTTCCATAAGAAAGTGTGTATACAATGATCAAAGGGACTTGCAATGCGCGTCTTTTTCTGTCATTAATCATTATTACCAACTACATATCACGATAATAATATTGTAGTGAATATATTATTAACAATTCAAAAGTTGCCACATGCACACAACACCGCACTTAAGAATGTAACAAAAATTACAAAACAATTATAGAGAGTCAATGCTTGAGACAAATCCCTGTTTAGTTCCGCATTTGAAATTGCTGCGAAGATAAATCCTCTACTTATAAATTACTTTTATACAAATAATGATAAAAAAAAAAATCATACACAGTATTTACACAAATAAACTCGAATAATATATGCTTGCGTGTACGAAATATCACTTGAAAAATAATAATCAATCATAACAACAATTAATTACATACTAAAAGTCATCATCACAACCGCACAAGTATATTTTTTGCGAGTCCCGAGAAAGTAGTGGAATTGAGAGAGGTGCCAGGCTGCTCAGGCCCAGCTGTTAAAGTCCCTGGTCTGATGGTGCAGGTACCCCGAGTACGTCATCGGGGCCCCGGAAGCCCCGTGCTAGCCGTAGGGGCCGCCGCAAGCGTACAGGCCCCGGTGCATTGAGGGGCCCATTTGGTAGCACATGGCCTCGTCCTGCAGCGAGGCGAGATGCATGTCTGCAACACACACCAAAGCTCTGCTCACACCTCCACCATTGATTTTTGCAAGGGTAGCAAACACACGCACACAAAATCAAGCAGAGTGTTCATAGTTAATATAGTATACAACTACTCGTATACACGTTAATTTGCGTTCAATAATAAAAATTAAAAGAGTCAACTCGTTGAGATCACAAAGCATTGTTCTGTATTCTAAATTTCAATAATTGTTATCAAGTTGAGGGATATTCAAAAGTAATTAGCATTATCTGAAGACGAATTGCATTATATTAAATAAGGTTAAGTCTTCAAGTTTTTAGAACTGAGAAATTAAATTGGAAATAAAATTCAAAGGCATAGAAATAATTTAAAAATTATGATTTTTTTTTAAAATTATTAATTGATTTGAAATTTGTAAATAATTTATTTAAATGTCCCTCAGTAAATCTACTTTGAGATGCCTGTTTTTTTGTATATTTAATGCAACATGCGTCAGGCATGCACATATTTACACTTGCTTAAAAATAATTCATCATGCTTCTTAATTACTCATTATTGTAATTTAAGTATTTTTTAGGTAAAAATGCTAAACTGCAGCAGCTCAGAGTTGATTGAGTCACAACGTTGAAAGGTTTAATCAATTTTGAGAGTTATTATAGACGTTCTATCATTCCTCAATAGCAGCCATTAATTGAAATACTCACAGGCATTTTCAAAACAAATTATTAACGGCGTACTATGAAAGTGAAGGATAATTTATTCTCATGCGATTTTTCGTTTCGACAGAAACAACTACAAGTTACAAACAAGTCATGCGCAAATTCTTTTTTCCACTGGCAGCAGCACTACAAGTATATTATGCATTTATCTGCATTCTACTTGACGACAATGCTCTCAGTAACATGGTTTGGTGGTTAATTAGCATTAATGTTATTTAGCTATTCTTTTCCCTGTGTGAATCCGAATTTGCTTTGCTCACTTTGCACACATTTTTCTAAAGTGATAGGTTTTCAAATTATTTTATGTATCAAGAGCGCATGAGATAAAACTAGTCTGTCTTTTTTCTATATAAAAGTTGTCATCAGGGCGCAATGTATAATTTTAATTTGAGAGATTAAATACAAATTTTGCGATTCTTAATCTAACGTCCTCATTAGCTGACCAAAAATATTCAAGGAGTTAATCCGAATGGCACAACAGTAAATGGAGGAATTTTTACATACATCTCCCAAAACAGAAAAGCTCACAATCGGCACTGTCTCAAAATCACTCAGTCTATTATGTAATTTAACCGATCAACAATTTAAGGGACCTCGCCGGTTGCGTTGCTTGCAGGGTGGACACAAATCTAAACTTTATTACACATTGGCGGCGAAATTCAGCCCAATAAAAAAATGAAAGAGTGCTTTAATAATATTAAATGTACTTCTTGAATGAGAATTAGTCAACTAACTGTACAGGCTGTCTATTTACAGGCGCCTCGCACGCACCAGGGCCTAGTACTGGCTATAGTCCTGCTGTCAGCACCGCGTGTCGCCCTGGAAGTGTGCAAAGTGCGCCAGGTGATGGTGGGAAGGGGGCAGGAAATGGGCCGGCATTTGGTACGGAACGATATTCATACTGGCCATCTTGTGCTCCTTTTTCCACTTCATCCGCCTGTTCTGGAACCAAATCTTGATCTGGCGTTCCGTCAAGCAGAGTGCGTGAGCGATCTCGATGCGTCGCCGCCGCGTCAGGTAGCGGTTGAAGTGGAACTCTTTTTCCAGCTCCAGCGTCTGGTAGCGCGTGTATGACGTCCGTTGTCGCTTTGTCTCGCCGTTAGCATTCACAGTGCCTGAAACATTTAAAGCCAAATTTTAGTTTGAGGTATTCAATTCAAAAGAGGCTGAATAAAAAAAGCATGCAGACTATTTCTAATTTAAAATACAAAATTGCAAGTTCCTAATTGAGAGATGTTACAAAAATTATAATCTTTGCTAAATTTGTCACTGAAGTAACAAATAAGATGGAACAATTTATTGCAAGTTTTCCCCATAATCATTATTTTTAATATTCTTGAGAATAATAGTGAAATTTTATGTATTATATTATCTTATATTATAGAAAAAAATTAAAACAATTGTTTCAGCATTTTTGTTTATAATATAATTTTAAAATCGTTTCTGGAAAAGGCCATTGAACCCAACTTCTTGAAAATACGATGTCCTTGTCTACAATTCTTCTAAATTTAGAAAAAACAATTTGTCAAAGTGGGCAAACAAAGCTAGAGTTGCATTGACACCCAGAAAGAGCGCGCAAAATAGGACAATCCCTTTTATTTTATTCTTTTGCACGTCCCTAGGGCGCTGTTCAAAAGATACAAACCCCAACAAACAACTGCATTCAAAGGATTGACATTTCTTTATTTTTCCTGATACGCACATTTCAGAATGCTCATTGTTATCACAGTGTGGACGGTATACTGCATTCAAGCTTTGGGAAAAGGCTGCGCGCCTTTTGATTTCAAAAGCGCAGAGTTTGTGAGTGAAAGTCTTGGAAACAATAAAAAAAGTTGCCCAGCACTCGCACACGGAAAGCATTGCGAGAAGAAAAAACAGCCTTGAGAGTGCATTTTTAACCCTTTCCGAGTGTGACAGTGAAAAATTTAGTCGCGCAGCTAGACGGCCACGCCGATGTGTGTTGTTGCTTTTGATATTGACTGTTGGTGCAGTAATTAATACCATGGCGATTAGTTACACCCTCTGTGACACACGCGCGTTTGCCACTTGTGCCATTGCACAGCCCACACACTGACTGAGCCCTTCGTTTGCTTTCTATTTTATTTTATTGGGTTTGTTTGCAAGTTTCCGTCTAACAGCATTTATCTGCAACCTATATATTGGATAGACAAAATATGTATGTAAAAGAGATATTCTTTAATAATTTCCTCACATCGATCATAGCCGGAGTTAAAATTAATACCAAATTACTATTTTCCATCAAATTTCCCAACTATTTTATTTTGTTTTACAATTGATTGTTCTGACTTGTTTGGAGAACAATAAATACATTGAATTAAATTTTAAAAGCAAATATAAAATAATTGTGTATGAACACAAAATGTACGTGTTAATTATAATGCTTTGAACATGCTCATGCAGAAATGAAATAAACTGGTTAAAATAATTTTTTATGTAAAAATTTATAATATTTATTCCCTAATATTCTATAGTTTTTTCGTTATCTCGTGCAGGTAGGAAAGCATGAAAAAAGGCAACACAATCATAACAGTTGATAATCAAACTTTGTGTTCTTTAAAAAATATTGATTTGATTTGAGTCATCAGCAGCAAAAAGAATTGAAATTATAAATTCATTAAATTTATTCTCTCGCAAAAATAAAAATAGAATTAAAAACGGCGCATGAATAATTTAAACTATATAAAAACAAGGTATAATTGTTATTTATTTTAGAAAATAAGAAATTTTCTATATAAATAATGGTCTAATACATTTATTTCCCTGCAAATTTGCTGCGGGTGTAAAAATATTATAAAAATAATCATTTTAAGTCCTAAACAAAATTATACATCAGATGATATTACGGCATAAATTTATCATCAATTCCAAATTCATGTAATCAAATATATCTTGGCGCCCAGAAGAAACATTTTGCCGATTTTTTAACAACTTACATTATATAAGGCGCTGGTATAAAAAAGGCCTAACCATGGCCAATGTTTTAATGACGTCACTGATTGTGAATAATTTGATTGATGGTTTAATAGAGAACACCTGCACATTTTTATCTCGGTGAAATGAAAAAAAAAACCAAATGCAATTTGCGTAAAATTGGAAACAAATAATATGTATGAGTTTTTGGAGTCCTTGTTGAACTAAATTAATTAATTACCTAACTCCAATTAAATTAATCATCTTTCTTAAAACTACCGCAAAAGTTCCCTAATGAACCGCCAATCATTCAACAATCGTCTTGTTCTTTAGACAACACAACACTGCATGAATCGTTATTTTTTTAATTAAAAAGTAAATTATATGGCAGTATATTAAAAAAAAATAAATAAATAATTATAAACCAGCATGTGAAACGGGAGACATAACAGATGATTTTTACAAAGAAAGATCTTGGTCATTAATCAAAATTATTATTTAGGTGGGCATCAAATGTACATATTTATTTATTTTTCTGCAAAAAACAATCGTTTTGGATTCAGAATTTTTTGCAAGGAAACTGAAGGATCATCGTTGTGCAAAAATGGAATTATTCATGGCTCTCGCACACTCAAGCAGAGATGAGCTAAGTTTGGGGCGAAATGCGCGGGTGTTTGTCTTTCGGAGGGTTTGCTATGATGTGGTCCAGTGGCTGCTGCTAGCGTGTCTCGCTTGATGGACAGGTGGGCGTGCGGACGGCCTGCAGAGCACCTCCTCAAGCATGGCGCAGACATCGGGCAACAGCTGCTGCGGCCTTTTTTACACCAACGACGCCACCAGCACACTCGGCAGCGCCAGCTCGAGAGCAAATTCCACCCACGAGGTCATGGGGTCACAAGAATGACTAGGAATGAATATTGCTTGCTCTGCATAATGTGCGAATTATTTTTCAAATAGAGCTTATGAGTGGCCAATGTTTTAAATGAAGCATATTAATATGCAATTTTTTTATGATTTGCTTAATAAGTCTGAAGTATTATAATCAAAAAATTTTTTATCCTCCAGAGAGCTTAGAGTGAAATAAATCTCTAAAATCTCTTAACTTTGTTACACGTTTTTGCTTTCATTGTGACCTTTTAAGCTTTTAAACTGGACATCATTCGTGTTATTTTTGAAATTCAATATTGTATGTCACTGGTGCTCGTGAAGTTTCAAATTTCATGGAAAACTTCGTATTTGCCAACTGACTGTGAAAAGCTCGCGACTGACACTCTCTGCTTGTGGAGTCTGGCGAGGGCGGCCAATTTCACAGGAAATGCCACTTTTGTGCGAGCATGCCCGGAGGACAATTCAGAGTGGCGCTGTCAAGCTTGCTGGCCCGACATTTTTGAAGACAGCATGCACATTGCCACTTTGTAATTGATATCACTTTCAGTTTTCGCCGCTGCCTTCCAGCAGATCAAAAATGCTTAAAGTTGCAAGTTAGTCAAACTTTTCAATGGAAAAACTTAGAAAATAAAATAAATTTAGCAGATTCTAATCGCATAAATAATTATTCACTATGATTATTTATTGTTAATAATATTAGAAAAAAATTTCAATTTTGATTTTTTATTCAGAGTGCCAATAAAAATCTGAAACCGTGTGATGGATGCCGCGGATTGTGATCCCAGAGGTGGGGCTCCTCATTCAGTTCAGGCGAGTGTCACTCACTATACAATAATATCCAATTTCATTTCACCCCACCCATTTGACGTGCGGCATCACCTTTATGCAGCACAAGCCAGGAATACCACTTTTTGAATAGCAGCCAATGAGTATTGTAAGCAGAGTTTGTATTGTTTATTTAAAATGAAAGAAAGATTATTAATGGGCGTCTAAAATAAATGGAGATCAGTTGGTCCCGCGAGACTCGGCGACTGTAGCGAGTCGCCTAGCTCGATTTTAAGCCGGCTCCGAGTCTTTGCTTTGCTGTGGCCGGTGGCGCACTTCATAAATTCACTTGTTTCAACCTCACTTTGTCCACTAGACTAATTAATTACCCGCTAATTTGTTCGGCTTTGCCCGCCAACGCTTCATTTGCATACAATAATATTTTCTTTGTTCCCTCTGGTGCGCTGACCTTTGCCTTTCCTTGTTTTGCTTGAGACTTGATGTAAATTTTCTGGTGGGCGGCCTGAATAAAATTTTTGATAGGTAACATCTCTATCATGTAAGATGCACTGAATGTTATTTTTTTATAGATAAATATCAGAATTAACGACGAATAATCTTTTTTTATTAGAACTCATTCCCAATAAGATAATAAAAACATTATTTTAAAAAGAAGTAAAATTTCTATGAACAAAATTTTGAATGGCGGGCTTGGAGTGGAAATATAAAAAAGTTTTGGTTTTTCCGCCATAATCAAGAGTTCAAAGCCCCTCCTACTCGTCGCGGCGGCAAAAGTACAATTAGAAAGAATAATTGGTGGAATTGCATTTTTACGAAGAGCTATTTCGACCTTAATCTTGATCACAGAAATGTAAATGAAATGAGGGAATAAAAATTCTGAGCCGCTTTTAACGAGCAAAATATTGTGTTTTAATTGCAGCCTAATTTCGTTCCCACATGCACGCGAGTTGACATTTTCGCGTGTTAATTACCAAAAAACAAAGCCACCGCCAGGGCCATGCGGCTTTTTTTTCATGCGTGATCTGCAGAGTCGAAAATGAACCTGGCAGTCGAGGGCACGCAGTATACAAAAGCATATGTGCGGCCCGGTATAAAAAAATTACATATTAACCAGCAGCGTGTACGTGTATAGAAAAGTAAGGCGGCGTTGCATACATTTGGTGACGCCAGCATCGGAAAGTCATTAGGCCGACTGTTGGGCTGTTTTGTCGGTTGACACCCCGTCACTCAGACCAGTCAGTCGGTCTTATCGCGCCGCTCTGATATATAATAAATGGACCGCCCATCTCCACGCAAGCGGATTCGGATTATAAGCTATGCGCATGCTGGCCGCCCATTTTTTATAATGCTGCCGGTAATTTCGGACACAATCGCGCCCTATCGCTTTTTTAAACTGCTCACCCATGCATTATTATTCGACCCGGTGGCTGCTGCCGCATGGCCGCTCGAGCCCCATTATGTACTATTTAATATACATGATTCTAATTTAAGTGCTTTTTTATGGCCGCTG